AGTGTGTACATATGTTTTTGAATTGAGAAGAATGTGGTGGGGGGAAGAGCGAGTTGAGTTCCCCAGGGGTACATACATGGGCGGGTCCACAAGGGCACTGAAAAAGCACTGAAAGCTGATTGGCCCCTGGATTCCACTCCTCTGTCACTCACCAATTCAAAACATATGATGAAAAGGTTGGCCCTTCTGTATGAATTATGGCCCCTCTTCTGTATGAATTGTATCATATGCCGCCACCTTAAAAAAGTCCTAGAATCGCCCCTGGATCCACTCAGTAATTTTGTTATCTACTTTAGACGGGCCAGGTGGGTGGCACAGTCTTGCCCTTTTGCATATCACTGGTGTCAGACTGACCCTTGGGAATGACTCCAGAAAGAACCTTCGGGTCCTGGGGGGTCAGTCTTGATGAAACACCGACAGAGATGCACTCCAGTGTCCTGTGGCCGTGTCCTCCTGGGCACTGTGACCCTCATCACCAGGCTATTGTTCACAGCTGAGGACTTTGGTCTCTTTATCACTGGAGCCACATCTAAGCTGCACCGGGCCATTTGACAGGGCTGACAGAAGTACCACACAGTACCCTGAGCCCCACGGAAGCAGGCATGAAAGATATTGGGTTTCAAAAAAAAGGACTGGAAAGGAAAGGTCCTGGACGCAGATGGAAGCTGACAGACTCGCATTTAAGGCCCCGCGTGAGAAACAGCAAAGTGTCAGCATGTTTGCTCTGCTTACTTCAGGTCAATGTTTGCTCTGGAAGTCCAAACCTTGGGCGTCAGTATTGCTCACGTAAACACACAGAGCCGGCTCAAAAGTACACAGAGATGCAGACACGTGATTTCTTACATCACGTCTGTCTCACCAAAGGAGGAAACTTTGAGAAAACCTTGTATGAAAAAGCAAGGTAGGCTGTGCTGGGTTTTCTTGGGATGACTGATGCTTCACCAAGGTACCACGGATCCCCTGACTTAGCATTTACTGATAATCACAGACAGGTGATGCTCCATCAAAGTCTTCCAAGATCATGCCATCTTGGATCTTCAAAGTGCACCTGGAAAGTTCTGGATGGAAAGGCCTCCGTCATCTGCAAAGATCAAAGCCTTGAGGAATGATGGGAAGTGCAGCATCTGCTGATGGCGGTCTCGAGAAATTGAGGATTCCAAGATGTTGTTGGTGCTGGGTGTTTTGGAGCTTCCCCAATTTCAATGGCCGTCACTCCCAAGCCAAACTTCCGGGCTACATATCCAGAGAGCGACGAAGATTGGGCAGAAAATGGCAGAGGCAATGTTGGGTTTCTCTGTGTTGACCAATCTGCACATGCCTTTCATGGGAGAACTTGTACACTTGGCCCACGAAGTCAGGGGAAATCACCAAGTCGGATCAGCCCCCCAAAATCAATCTTCAGCCGGCCGTCTCTGAAGGCGGACTCGTGCAAATTCCTCCTCACTCAGCACTGCCCTTGAGAAGATGCTGTAGATGCTTCAATGGAAAGCATCTCAGATGGCTGAAAAAGAAAGAAAAAATGAAAAAATACAATCCCATTCAAATCTGTGCACAAACAAACCATGTCAATGAAACAATGAATTCATACCTCAGAAGGAACTCAGCAAAATCATGTACTAAAGTTTCATTCAAAATGTAACACAAAAATGATCTCTCATAAACAAGAGTACTAGACCAGCACAAGATGGCACCATCGCCTCACAGGACTTCAGCTCAGACCTTGTGATCCTGGTCTCCAACTGATTGGAAAGAAATAACTGGCTGCAGATAGAATATGAACAGTTTGCAGATCCTATTTGCACAGTTGGAGGGTGTACGATTTAGCACTTCTCTCTGTCTCGAAAAATTGTGGCTCAGTTATGCTGCTGCCAAAAGCATGTTGAGGGATGCGATAAGATGCTAGATATTGAGTTTGATGGGTGACAGAGAGGCCAATAAAGACACAACTAGTCATTGAGGAGATATATAGCAAAGTGCCAAGTCAGCAAATTCCAGCAGCAGTAAGTGCTGAGTCACTGTAGGGGAGGGACTCAAAAAGCCAGAAAAGCAGCCAATCAGCAAGGAAGAACCGCAATCCCAATGGAGCAAGGTCAGAAAGTATGCAGCATAAATGCCACATGAGCCGCTCCACTCTAGGTTTTAGGGAGTTACCAAATCGACTTCGGAGAGCCTAACAGAATCAGATTCTGGCCGGACTGCCGGCCTTCCGCAGACAGAGTGTTTGTTTGCGGCCGGTTGCCAGGCAGTGTGGCCTGCACAGGAAACGCAGTGTGTGTTTTGGTGGAGGTGATTCCTGCCGGGGGCTTACTGGCATTTCCTGTTGAGAGAATGGCTCGCAAGTAGCTCACCTGCGGGCCACAGCGTGCTGGAGCTGCGGCTCTGACTCGCAATGCTTTTTCCAGACGTCCAAGAGCGCCTAGGCAGGCCTGAGTCATGTGACTGCCTCTGCTCTATGAATGGACCTATACTTTGCAAGCTAATACACCAGGAGAGGAGGGTGGCAAAACTCAACTGTATAAAGGCTGCAGAGCACAAGGTGCTGCCAGACTATAATAGAACTAGAATTATTCAGGCATTTTACCTGTGGCTACCATGTTAATGTTATTATTGCTGGTCATCTAAAGAATTTGTGATAAACATTGCAGTTGCAACATACTTCCTGGTTTACCACTAAACACCAAAATGAAACTTCACGGGTAGAGACTATGCTAACAATCAGGAAGATGATAGTTAATGTTTCCAGGTTATGACCGTTGATGTAAGTCACACTCGATTGCAAAAAGCACAGTTTGAGAGCTTCCAGGGGCTGGAAGAAGGATCACGCACACATTGAACACTGGTGAGTATGTTTTTGGGCTGAGTTTGAATCTGCTCCCAAGTCAACCAATGAGCCACAGTTACTCTGCATCTACAGCATGATGTCTTGCTGAATAGGGTCACGTAATCGTGTGGTCCTGGCTCTCTCTCATCTCACCTTCCGTGAGGGAAGGATGTTGTTAGTCTTGAAGGCTACATATGCTCACATGAATTTGTTTTGCTGAGGCTGAGATTCATTCCAGGGTAAAGATCTTTCGCTGAGATCTCCAGAACACAGTCCGGCCCAGAGGTGGACGCTTTCCTGATCTACAGTGAGGTGCAGACATCCTGCTCTCCACAGCAGCGCGCCACTGCTGTTGGAGCATTCATACGCGCACGACTTCCCAGCTGTTACCAAAACTGGAATATCTCAGAGCTCAGACACGTGACTGCATCGATCCAGGTCCATGCTGAAGTTCAGGAGGTCACAGGGAACATGACATCGCAAACAAAAAAAACAAAAAATAACCAATTTGACCATAGTTCATTACATGGTCCCTAATTCCTGTTCAGATAACACTCGAAGTGCTTTCTTTTACTTTCATAGACTTAACATCTGGCCAGGTTGGGCAATAATTTGGAAAACCTGTTTCTTCGATACACCTTAGGGGTTTATTTTGACCCCTTTTTCCACATTATATTACACTCTGTCGACACTTTATTAGGTACACTTGCTTGTTAATGCAAACAGGCTGCTCCTCTGAATGCTGAATACATAGTGTGTAGAGACAGGGTCAAGAAGTTCAGGCTTTGTTTGACTAAGCATTAACACTCCTGAGATAATCATGGCATGACTGTCGATATCGGATGTGGCCGATCCAGAAAGTCCCGGTCCTGGGATTTTCACACACTGCAATCTCTAGAAATCACAGAGAATTACGCGATCATCAAAAACCTCCAGTTAAATGGAATTTTCAGTTGCTGAGAACACATTGCTTAAGGGAGAGACTCATTAATGCTAACAGGAAAACCACAAGTGCAAAAATAACAGCTCAGTACATCAGTGGTGCGCAGGAGGTGAATGCATGACTCCTCGAGTGCTTCTGGAGAGCAAAGGAGCTGCAGCGGTGTGGCCCCTGTGTGGCTATGGCATGTCAACTGCGTTCCTGCCTGTCAGTGAGTTCGTAACTTTCAAAATTAGCTTCAGTATTCCTTGTTGTTACTGTCCTAAATTAACCCCTTTAGAGTAACTATGTTGGGAACCCTCCCTCCCCCTCCAAAAAAAATTTTACTCACCACGTGAAGGGAGGTAGTAAATTACACCCAAGTGCTGTGGCTAGCCAGGAATACTAGAGAGGAAATTGGGCCTAGTTTGTGTATAAACCGCTCTACAGTGCCTCATCTGAGCTGAAAAACAAGGATATCAGACTTGCTAAGGGCTATTAATCACATTTTCGCCATGAGCCCAGCTCTGTGAATATTCCGGATGGTCTCGCAGCCATGATGGGATTCGCCGGCCCGTCAAAACCCACCCCCCCCGCCGCCCGCACCTTGACCTTTACTCCATTTGCAGATTAACAGCAGCCATTACTCAAAATCCCAGGCCTATAACGTTTCAGGGCTCACACTGGCCACCGCTACTTTTGGTCCAAGCCGCAGTTCGTTATATAGGCTGTGCGGAGATTTCTGTAACATAATCATATGGCAGTGTAACAGAATCCAACCCCCCCCAGGAAGAGACTCCTCATAGCACACTCAATCCCAGCTGGGCAAGGCAAATCTGAAGAAGAGAAAAACAGACCAAACAAAAAGCACAGCAAAATGAAAGACAGGGGTACTGCCATTGCTCAGACGCACTGAGGTACAGCTAAACGGCTGCAGACTTGCTGTCTCTCGTGGGTCCTGTGCATTTTTTATGCTCTGAAAAATGCTCATGACAGGAAAAACCTAAAGATAAATAAATAAATAAATAATTTTAAAAAACTGCATCATAGAACTTGCATAGTTTCAGTGACAGTTCAAATTTCTCAGCTCCTACAAAAATGTACAATAAGAATAGAGCTGATAAGACTTCAGACAACAGGTCAAAACATTGTTGGCACATTGGCAGACACTACCCCCTACTGGCAAAATAATGTAACTACTAATGTCCTTCTTTATTTTCCATGAATCCCAAGGAAAAAAAAAATACTGATTGAAACACCTTCAGCTGGGAAATTAAGACATTTATTGTCATTATTACAAGAATCTTAAAAAAGAGCAAAAAACTAACAAAACTCCATAAGAAAAACAATCTACAAGACATTGTTCAAAATCTGTATCAATTAGAAATACATTCAATTATCAAAAAAAACAATAACGATTTAGGAAATAATCAAGCTCACAATTGATTTCTAAACTGTAGTGCCATCACGCTCTCTTATTGCTTTTAAACATGGCGTTTTTTCTGGGTTGATGGAATTCAGGTGTTACACAGAAATGCAAATTTATTCCACTGCTTTAGCATGCAATTTTCATGGGTCTGTGGGAAAGAAAAAAAAATAGAAAAGAGCCTGCGACTAACTATGAAAATAAAAAAAGCAAACATCTTTTTGAAACAGAAGCATGAAAGAGACAGAATGTGATCTTTAGATGCTAGAGATGGAGGGAAAGAGAGAGAGAACATCAGGACGGCTGGCACAGTGGCACGAATGGCCAGGAAGCTGGTGGAAGGTGTGGAGTTGAGATGGAGAAGCCACACGCAGCAGGAAGTGGGTTTGGCTGCACCACCACGAGTCAGGACCATCTGACTCTGACTCGGGCGGATGTAAGGTTAAGGGGGTGACTCACACTGGTACTATGCCTCACCAACACACAGGGCACTGGTCAAAGCATATAAATATCCCCAAGTAAAAAAAACCAGTAACAAAAAACTGGTCAGTTTTTTTTGTTGTTGCTGTTCATTTTCCCGCCACAAAAGGCCGCGTGTATATCGCTGAAAAGGATTCCCACATTTAACCTGCCCCATCTGGGGATAATTTGTATTTTTAAGCATTACGGTGTCCTTTGAGAGAGAGAGAGAGAGAGAGAGAGAGAGAGAAACATGACCAGAGTCTTAAAAATCATCCCTGCCGTGCTTTTACCAGTATAGTGCTACACGGTGGCTCCATTTATCCCTCGAGGGGAAAAACAAACACAAACATAAACACAAACACAGTGCCACCGGATGGTAAACACACATACAGGAAACTACACCGGACCAAGGGGAAGAAGGAACGCAATGACTCCTGTTCTGTTTTTCTAACGTGCTCATCCAAGTGTCCAAACCTCATTCCACATCAGTGCAGAGCAAGGCCAACTGTCAGCGTTTCAAAGGCCTGAATCAAACCAGGCAAAAAAGGAAATATTCACTGTGTGACGAAATGAGAGAGAGAAGGGGAAAGAGAGAGATAGAGAGAGAAGACCGTAGGCAATCAACAAACTAAGGGCAACTAAATTCACTGCAAAGACCAGAGGACAGAACTGGGGATTCTGGTTCATTGTCAGCACCCAAAAGACAGTGCATGTCAACCAATGGCTAAAGCTAGTCAGTACACTCAATAAACAAACTTGGGGTACACAGCTGAAGCTATGTGTACTTAAATTCAAAATGGCATGCTTTAGTGGGGACTCCAGTGGCGAAGGACTCAACACAACGCCCAAAGCGTTCAGGAAACACAAAAATGGACACCGAGCATGAGGAAGGTCAAACAGACGTAGGTTAGCAGGAGATGGGAGCAGCAAGGGGGGGTGGAATATTTGTAAACTTTAAGTGTGCTGAAGGACAGCTACGCTGGTGGCTCCAGGGAAGGTGTGGGTGGTGCAGTTGGAGGTGAACTGAGGGGATTCCCTTCAGTCTGGCTGTCCAAAGATTGGCTCTCAGTTACTCTTCAGCAGCTCGATGCAGCTCTGCAGCAGCGACATGTTATTCTGCAGAAACAGACAGATGGACGGTGGGGGGGGTGGGTTCAACACAGGGTCGGGAGCCGCTGGGGATGCTAACGGCTGGTCGGTCCATCACACACCTTAGCGTGCTTGATCTCCAGCTCTGCCATTTCGATCAGGTTCTTCCTGAAAGCTACCACCCTCCTTCCTTTGAAGCTGGTCAGCTCTGCAGAAGAAAAACATCATGTCAATGACCCTGAATTCGGTGATAAAACCTCAGAAAAATGATCTGCATCATCTTCGGCTCTGGGTAACATAGTGGGTCTATGCTTCGTGTCACCATCACACATCTACTGGGCTGCAGGTTTGCGTCTGACCTCCCTGTGCTCTGGTGGTTCACCCCCAAAGCTTTAGGTGAATCACTAAATTAACATAATTGCTCTTAAAGTATCTGTATATGCCCTGCAATGGACTGACATCCAAAGTGCATCTGGTTCTGTGCCTGAACAGACTCCAGATCACTGCATCCCTTACTGGAGGAAACCAATGGATATCCACCTCTAAGACTTGTGAATAACCCTTTAATAATCTCCTCTTGTGATTCTTTTCTCTAGGATCCCCCCCCCTCATTGCCAAGGTCAGAACAATCTTATTTTCAGGAGGATCTCTACACATGTGAATCTGACATTTCACTGTTGTCTATGACTAATGGGAAAGTCAGCTAGATCTGATGCCTTCACAGTTCCTGTTGGGCCACTGGAACACCGAAGTACCAACCCAAGGCGGGCTGAATAAACGCCATCCCAGTGCCGCCCTCACCCTTCTTGCCAGACTCGGAGAGCTTGTTGAACTTCTGCAGACACTGCTCCTGGTGCTCCTGCGCCTGGACCACATCTTTGCTCTTGAGCCGAGCCTTGTCTAAGGCCTTGTTGGAGTTCTCGTAGTCGGCCAGCGCCCGGGCCCGTCTATATAAGAGGTCCTAGGGGACGTGGGTAGGTGGGGATCATGGGAAGGGAGTGTAATACCATGAACTTCACTGCTTGCTGGCCACAGCCAGGACTACAAATGGACGGTCCTCAACAATCCAGCTCCGTATAAGTCAATAAGAAAAATCAGAGACGCACTGTGCGCCGACTCAGCACTGGGCCACTAAGCGGAAACACACCCTCCTGCCACGAAGACGGCCCTCACCTTGGCAGCCTGGATGTCCCTCATGTAGTACCTGAGCAGCTCCGTCAGCTTCAGCTCCTGATCTGACGCCACCCGGGCTTCCACTTTCTGGCAGAAATGAGCAGACAGGCAGCCGGCCGGTGAGAAGCAGCACCATGCACACTAACAGCTCCATGCGCACTAACAGCTCCATGCGCACTAACAGCTCCATGCGCACTAACAGCACCATGCGCACTAACAGCACCATGCGCACTAACAGCACCATGCACACTAACAGCACCATGCACACTAACAGCACCATGCACACTAACAGCACCATGCACACTAACAGCACCATGCGAACTAACAGCACCATGCACACTAACAGCACCACCACGGACTCGACAAGACGTACCCGCAGCTTCTCAAACAGGTCCGACAGCTTCTCCAAGTGCCTTGTGGATTCAGAAAGAGGAAGCGATGGAAAGAGACAGAAAGAAAAATTGTTATCTTCTCCAAACATGCAGTTTATTGCAGTTCATTTAAATATATATTCCAGTCATAGTCTATTGTGTGTTGACTGCTTTAGTAGAGTGTTGATACTTTATCTGGTAATATAGCTTTTCTTTCACTTTATATAAAAAAAATGTAATTTAATTTAAAAGCTTGAATTTAAATAGGAGGAAGAGAAAGTAAGAAATTCAGGAAGGCCATATGCCACGGCTTTGTATTCCTTGAACAAATCTGGTCCCCATGTAACCTGAGCTACAGGTCCTAATGGATCACAACCGCTGTAGATAAAGTGTCATTGCGCAGGCACAAGGGGGCGGAGTCATGGTCTTGGACAACAGGGCAACCACCACAGGTTCTGCCATGTTGTAGAGCATCATTTTTACTGGAAAGCTACATGCAAAAGCCAGACGGAAACAGAGAACCCAGAGACAAAGAGCAGAGAGGTTTTCAGGCACCGTGTCCTATAGGTACCCACTGTTTCAGTGCTGTGGTGTCTTCTGCAGAGAGGCTGTTCAGGGTGGCGGAGATGTGGATGTAATCTTCAGCCACACCTGCAAAGTGAGGGGAGGTGAGCACTGAGGGGTGCTCACAGAAACAAGGTATAAGCAGGCTGGGGAAAGGTGCCCTCACTCTTATGGGAGCGAGTCATCTTCTCCGCTTTGGCAGTGGAGTCCTTGATCTTGCTGAAGTAGTCCAGCAGGAAGGTCTTCTCCTGGTCGAAGAAGTCATCAACTTCCTGCAGGATATAGTATTATCTGTCACGAGTCATGGGACCTACACGTGACCGATGCCTTCCGAACGCCAACAGCACTGAGAATGGCAAGGTGTTGACTTTCACCAGGACGCCCAACGGACCTTGATTCCCGAGATCAGAACCTCGTCCGCAGACTTCACCATGTTCTTGAAGAACCCTCCGAACACCTCTTTGGCGTTCTTCCTTCTCACACTTAGCTGTCGGAGGAACCAAAGAACCGCAGTGAACCTCAACTCTCAGAAAAGGTACGTGAAACACTAACAATGGACAGGCCCCACGAAACCCAAACACATCATCAACAAAAGCAGAAAATGCTATATAGCTGCCATATTACAAAACAGGAATCATGCAAACACTGTTCTTTAAAAATATATACATGTAACAAACACAGCTGTAGTGCTGAGGTTAGGCAAAAACGTTTGTGATCCTCCTGCAAATGCAAGGCCAGCAACTCTACAGGAAGCCAGTCCTGGAAGGACACGGCCTGGGCACGCCCCCTGCCCTGGGGACCGGGAGCCACGTACGTCTTGGTCATACTCCAGAAAGATCTGGAAGTTGCGGTCCCTGCTTAAGACTGGGTGGGAGGAGAGGCGCTGGAGAAAGACCTCATGGACCTGCACGGTCTTCTTGAATACTGCCAGGTACTCACTGCCGAGAAACATACAGACATGGGGCTTAACTCGGGGGAAGAGGGATCTCCTGAAAGTACCACACACCTGACTACATTGATGTTGAGCTCCTTAAACAGTCCTGCCATTAAGTTACTAATTACAATGTCTCTGGTGGCCAATGGCCGCATTGCACTTACGCTTCCAGCTCCTGCTTCATCTTGGCATATTCCTCCTTGGTCATGGATGCCTCTCCCTCCCCCAGCTTGTGCATCTTTTCCCGGGGGCTCTCAAAGTCAGGCTTGGGAGGGGCTGGTGGGATCTAGTGGGTTCGTGGAAAGACAGTGAGCCACATCTGTGACGGTCGGAAGAGTGTCTGCCACGTAAGCGTGTCTGACCGGTAATTGTGCAACACGCAAAGTGAGGCACAGGAAGCCCAAAGTGCAGGCTGTGTGTCGAAAACGCTAACAGCACTTACTGTAAAGTCCCCATTAGACTGGGGGTGTCTATCTAACATATTACAGAAGCAGCCATGTGTCTCAGATAAGAGACACAGCCAAACTCTGACAGTTATTTACATAAAGATTGTGAGTCCAGCCCAGGGAGGAGGCTAAGTTACACAGCCTGCATCAGACGATTTACTCATTGTCAACAACGTGGTTCAATGTGTCCAGCTGAGCACCACCCTTGTTGGAGACCTCTCTCTGGCTGGTGCCCGACTCCCCAACGCCAAGCTACCGGCCCCCTCTGGGCCCGGTCGGGTGACTCACAATAAGCCCGGCGTACTCCTCCGTCTCCACCAGGGTGTCGTGGAGCCAGATGAAGTCCTCATGCTGCCGTGGCACTGAGAACTCGGGCTTCTGGAAGTTCCTGAGTGTCGTCTAAGGAAACATAGGGTTTTGTTCCGTTAGCCTGCTTCACCGAGCACGGCGGGCAGCTAACACTACCCAGGGACGGGCCTGGTCACAAACACTTAGCTAAACACAGTCACGATAAATGCACGTTTTGCATTTCACAAAGCTAGGATGTGGCTGTAGGTCTTCATTCTCTCATGTTTCAAAAGTCTGAACCATGCTTGGCTATCACAGAATAAAAGATATAGGCCAGTAGACCACAGATATCTAGTGTTTAAAAAACAAAACAAAAAAAAACAAATATAATGTCAACATTTAAGTTAAAATCTTGGTATGCATGTGAGCATGCTCTGTGATGAAAGATAATCTGTCCAAATAAACATTTTTTTCTTTGGGGGGGTAACAAATTTATAACATGCAGAGCAGGCACCTTCTTGTCTTTTGCTCTTAAGGTCATGGAGTCAAACACAGAGGCCCCCACCAACTGGGAGGTGGAGATCCAGAGGGAGAAAGGCAGAGTTCTGAGTGACACCTCTCACTGAGAACAAGGGCGCCCCCCCTTTACCTTGGTGTGGACTGTGAATTTCACCTTGTCCCGCTCACATAAAGCATCGGGGATGTCGATGAGCAGAGAGGCATCATTGTTCAGGTCCACAGACACCGATCGGACCTGAGAAGACAAAGTGTTCACTTATCTACAATCCCTTCTGCTTCAAGACTGCTGCATGAGTTTAAATAAACCTAAGAATTATATTACTGAATGGAAAAACAGCGTCCTGTAGCTGGCTCTAGACAAGGGCCTCAAAGATTTCTCTCTCCTTTCCTTGTTTTGCTTTCGTGAGTATTTAAAGAAAGAAATATACTTTTTTGGAAATGGAAGCCAGGGAAATGTACACTTTTTATTAAACATACTGTTTTTGTGTATGTGTGAGTGTAACAACATTCATATCAGGAGTCACAACAATCAACCCTACAAATGGCTTTTATACTCTTCTGAGCCTGGGACTGAGACTAGGGCCCCATGGTCCAACGGCCAGCAACACCAAAGATGACCTGTGCAAAGTAGTTGTGGTCCTAAGAGAAGGAACAGTCTTCTGCATGGTGCAGAGAGGAGGTCCAGCACTTTGAATCATGGTGCTCCACCAACAACTTTCTTATCAACAACAAAAAAAATAAATCTAAGAACTCATTATTGACTTTAGACATCTCTGTAATCACCGCACCCCTATCTACATCTATGTCTCTGAGGTGAAATGTTACTAACTACACATTCCTACGGGTCCACATTACTGAGGATCTCTCAGGGACACTCAACACAACCTCCATTGCAAAGAAGGCCTGGCAATTCCTCTAATTCCTTGGAAGATGAAGGAGGTCTGACTCACTAAGAATGTCCTGGTCAACATCTACCAGAGCACCCTCCAGAGCATTGTCACGTATGGTATTACTGCATGGCACGGTGACAGTGCAGTCTCAGACAGGAAGGCTCTCCAGAAAGTGGGCAAGGCCTCACAGCACATCATCAATACTCAGCTACCCGCAACACAGGATGTCTGCTACAAACGCCGCTTGAAAAGGGGGCATAGCATCTACAAAGAATCCTCTCATCCTTCAATGGTTCACTCCTGCCCTCAGGAAAAAGACCTAAGTGTCTCAGAATCTGGACCACCTACTTCAGTACCAGACATCTGAATGGTGAAACATGACCTCCAATCCCCCACAGATCCCCCTACTCCTGACCCCTGTCTCCTGATGTTGCACTGTAGTACTCTTCTGACCTGGTATACATATCTGCTGATCTATTCATTACTCATTACAATTGTTTACAGAACTCAATGTTTATACCACACCATATCCTTCATACTGTTATGATATTGATCTCTTGAACAAATACAGTATTGCCTGTTTTATGTAAAAGCTTTAGACACATATACTCCTTACTCTGTCTGTTATTCTACTGTCTTAGTCTTTGTTATTCTACTATTGTACTATTCCATTATTCTATTTTAAACTTGTTGCACCAGCTGTAGGAGTCACAAGACACTCATTATATGTTTACCTCTAGATACTATAATGACAATAGTTGAATAGAACTGAATTGAACTGATGTGTCATAATCCAGATTGACACAAGCATTTGTCCATGTCAAAATAAACAGACTTGTGTGTGTGTTCCATGTCCATCTGCATCACACGAGGCCTCCGAGCAGTAAAACCAGGCCTCTGCTGTTTCACACACCCAACACACAAGGTGACCAACAATACACCAGGAAACAAAAAAGCGACCTGCAATGTGCTAATGGATGACACAGCTCATCGTCCCCCCTACCTCAGCTGTCCGGGCTTGCCTTATTAGTAATTAGGATGCAGACAGACACCAATCCACTCAAGGCAGACAGAGAACCACATGCTTTCTACCAGAGAGACAAAGGTAAAATTCACCTCAGGGCCTCAACACACTCCATCCACATCTGGTGGTTAGATAATTTCAATACATTAAATCGCCACAAGGCCTTTACTTCCCATAATTCACTGGGTTATTGCACAAAATGACAGTGGCAAGCATGGCAATCACAGCAAACAAAGGAAGAGCTTCAGGCATAACTGAATGTCAAGCACATTGTAAAATTCCTTGGCAGTCTGTTCGTTACTACCAGTAATTCTGAACCAATTCTTATGGAAGGTGCACAGAAAGCTGGCACAGAAAACTCAGCTTTCGGACAAAAAAACAGATAAATGCAAGTGATGATCAGAGCATGTCCCCATAACCCTGACCCGTGTGTCACACAATCCCAGGGTCGACTGCAGTGTCAGCAGAAACACATCCACAGATAAGGTGGAAGTCCTTATTTCCCGTGGAATGCCTGGCAGGAAGCCTTAAAGAAGCAGACCTCCAAAATCACTGGCCTATGATATAATCAACACAACACGGTGCACTTGACTGCAACACGATGTATGACTCAAATTCCAAACGCAAAAAAGAAAGAGCTAAAATACCTGCATTCCTGCACACACACACAGGCACACGAACATTTACTGCAACCAGACACCAATCTGATATATAGATGAATGTCTCTTGAGCAAGCTAGTCTGGTGTAACTTGTCAATGTTAATTTACAAAATCAATATTTAACTGCTAATTCGGTAGGGAAATTAAAAGACACCTAAATTTCGACAAGTGATCTCATTTACGCAAGTCAAGATCAAATGTTGTTACAATAAAGAACAAATCAATGCACTCGGAAGTAATGCTGGAAAAAGAAAGAAGCGCTAAGTGTATAATAGAATAACTGGCAACTAGAATCAGTCTGGATGGCGCGTGCGATAATCGGATAACAAACCTCCAAAAAGCGCAATTAGCGTCCGACACGAGGGTGACAGGCGAAAGGCGCAAATGAGGGCGCAAATTCAGGCGTGCTCACAATGTCTCCTTGGACATCCAGTATTAAAATTAATAAGACTCGCCACTTACACACGCTTATACAAACCAAATATAATCCCCCCCCACCACAACGCAAAAACACCAGTACTACGCCAAATACACGCATAAAGAAGTATTTTGCACAACAAGTGTATCATTATTTCACAGCCAAACACTACTATCGCTATACTTAGTTGTGCAGATAATTTAAGGGCACAGCCTTCCAAGACACGCCTGTACACACAGTTATACTGTGAGAAACGAAAATAAAACTCCAGGTAATCTCATTCATAATTAACATACGTTACTTTTCTATCTCCGTATGAGTTGTGCAGCTTAATGCAAGTTTTAATGCTAACTTTGAAAGCATCGATGGGCTGCGCACTTACTAGACGGGAATAAAACAAGGAAAAACAATTTTATGGGCACAAAAGCATGTGACACGTCCTGCAGGAGCGCCCTAGCTAACAAGTTAGCTATCAAGTTCAACTTCCCGTGACACACATTATTAACTGGCTCATCTTTTAATAATGAACAACGGAAGATAGAAGACTGTCATGTCAACTTGCAGCTGCATGAAATAAGTGAACATGTTATGTATTAAAAACCCGTACTGTCATTTTAGAATTTAGAAAATGGAAACTGTCGATAGAAAGAATTAGCTACGGGCTTCACTCACCTTATCTCTATCGCCTTCATCGGGGGTCAATGCCATTTTTCAAGACACGGTACACACTAACTAGGTAAAGTATTACAGAAATCGCTCATTTAATTACAGAGCTACTTTATCCAAATTACTGTCCACTGCCCTTGCCTTTCCTGTCACTCCGTTTACTTCCACTAACTTTGTTCAAAACCGAGCCACGGACGTTTCGGGGTAGGCAGGGCCAAACTCTGTTCCCATTTCCTATTACGTTTCCTGCTTGTCAGTCATAGGGTTTTCTGTTGCTTTCTGATTCCGCTGAATCCGGTATGTTTTTCTTTTGCTCAGTTGAAAGGAATGTAGTAGGCGGAATCGTGGCTCGGGTAATTTACATACATCTCGTTCCGCATCAAGAATACGGACGGAATTTCTTAACGGACAGAATATGGGGACAAAGCATCATGGAATTTGTAGGAGTTAAGAGCACCGGAACAATTTAAATGGAGCAGAGAAAAACTACAATTCCCATCATCACATTGAGGTACTACCAATCGCTTTTGGTTCATAAAATACGGCACGAAAAAAGCTCGCGAAGAACGAAGTGGTAACTGTATTCTTTTGATTATTTTGCTTAGTGCTGTTGTAATTTGTAACACGTGCAGAGCGGTATTAGAATATAGTTTCTGGAGGTTACATTACTTTTCTGGAAACTGACTTTAGAAATAAGTATATGTCTACATTTCATGTCAAGTAAAAGTGATTTCACGTTTGTTTCACAGCATCTTGGCACGAAATTCAACTAATGATAACAAGGGATCATTAATACAAAAGGCTTATGCAGGATTTGGCTTTCTTATTTCAAAAATGAAATGTACTCAACTTTTGAATCAAATCAGACATGTAAGTATGAAGGGGCTAGTGGCTTCCTTCTTTCCTTATTGTGCCTTATGTCCAGTTGCATGTCTCTCAACATCCAGCCGCTGGAGCACTCGTAAAAAGTCCAGCCAGTACAGCTCAGTGGACACTGAGAAGTACTCCTCCCTGGTAAGGTCAGTGTTATCAAGAACTAGCTCCCAAACTCCAGCAAGCCTTAAAGAGGAAGATGAACATATTTTTGGCCCCATTATCAAATCAAAACCAGCCTTTGCACAAGAGTGCAAAGTTCCCAAAAGCTCCCATCCACTAGTTTATCCTGACAAGACACTGGATCGTCCATCAGAAGATGAGGGAAATCCTCCAATGCGCATTGCCATGCAGAGAGGTGCAAGCAAGGTCACGGTCCCCAGCGTGACTAAGATTCTGCAGCAGACCATGCCCCCTGAGCAAGCCTTTTACCTGGAACGCTGGAAGGAGAGGATGATTGCTGAACTTGGAGAAGAAGGCTTCAAGGAGTACACCATCAGTAAGAAACTTTAACCCTTTTCCGCTTCACATCAGATCATACCCAGAGCTGACTAGGCTCAAAGCGGCTCTTTTTTGTCATGTTAACCTGATCAGCTTATAGTGTAGCAAACTGAAAAGCTATTTGCCAAATTATTTCAGATATTTTCAGACAAGGCAGACGCTTCCACTCGGCCTTGGAGAGCATTTTAATACCGGAGGAAGAGCTGTCCAGCGACACAGGATCTTCAGAGTCGGTGGAAGGATACATCGAGAGTGTTCGCCACGTTCTCAGAGAAATCCGTGGAGTGAGGGCCATTGAGAGTGTTGTGCAGCATCAGTCACTGAACTACCTTGGCTTGGTGGACTGTGTAGCTATGTACAGGTGGGAACAGCCTCCACGGTTTAACTGGTTTGTGCATTTACATTTGCACTTATTTTTATTTGGCAGATACTTTTGTCCAAAGCAACATGCAAGCAGGACAAATAGCAGATTACAGATATACATGCTGTCAAGGAATCGACTAGGCATAAGCTCGGCTGAGCTTCTAATGAACGCCCATTTGTAAATGTAAGCGGATTTGGTGAAATTAACATCAATATCTTTGGGAATTAAGGTTTATGGTATTCTATGTCAAATGATCTTAGTTTTTTTTTATAATAGAAATACTTAACTATCTATTTGGTGTTAGTGTGCTAGTCAGTATTTAAGTTTAGATGACTGTTATTACTAAAAGGTCAAATGAAACCTAAATGTTTTGTGCGTACACATTGGTATTGAACATTACTGTCTCTGCTCCAGTTGTTGGCACAAGTAGATCACTGAGGACATGGTGTCTCTTTGTTATAGAGGGGAGCTCTGTGTGATTGATTGGAAGACCTCAGAGAAGCCCAAACCGCACCTCCGCAACACATATGATAACCCCCTACAGATCGCTGCTTACATGGGGGCCATTAACGACGACGGAAATTATAATTACCAGGTCAGTCTGCTCGATCAGTTCTCCTGCATCTGAAAATTTGTGCTTCTGTGACTTTTGTGTCTTAGTGCTGCTGTTCTTGTTTCCTTGTAGGTACAAAACGGTTTGATCGTGGTGGCCTACAAAGATGGTTCACCTGCGCACGTCCACTTTATGAAACATGACGTATGTTTGGTGTACTGGAACAGATGGCTAATCCGACTAGAGGAGTTTAAGGAGAAGGTGTAAATCGTGTCTGAAGATTTTCATTACGCGGTTAAAAGTGAGATGCGTCCTTCTAATTGTGAAGCACACATTCATTTTGCACACAATGTGTTTGTTTAGTAATAGAATTTCCCTGTTTTTTTCACAACAATGTTAATTGTGAGTATTGTTCATTAAAGACTACTGTGTGTCTTAATAAAATGACATGGTTTTTCAATCAGCTCAAAATGTGTTTTCTTTGAAGTGTGTAATATGTGTTTTAAGCAAAATGTTTCAAGTTACAAGCTAAAACTATTGTTTTAAAGAAAGAAGAATAAATTTCCTCCTTTTCACTGAGGACTTTATTGAAGTCAAAGTTTTGAAAAATTAAGGAAAACCTGAACAGAGGATCTCAACATCAAACTCATATGAGTATAGCCATCTGCTTACTGTTTTAAGTGTACTGTGTGTTGATAAGTAATAGATATTTCTTCACTTAGGTGCAGTATTTAATTTATAGTTCAGTTTATATTAAATATTTGACTTGGGTGATAGTGTAGGATTTAACAATGAATCGAGATGCTGAATGTAAGCGACTCGGGGTTGGTAATCGATTAGTTTGGCCTGAGAAACGATTCCATCCGGGTCTGTGACGTAGCACAGACCCGAACCTTACGGTTCACGCAGAGCTGAAAATCCTTGTTTGTCGCCGGAGGAGAACAGGGTCTCACCATGTCCACGGCTTCGAAAATGGTCCTGGGTGTATCGGTTGGTCTCACCCTAGCTACCGTGATTGGCGTGCATGTCAAACAGAACTGGGAGAGAGCGGTAAATAATCACCGACATTAGCAGCGCGTCTGGATGTTATCGGGTTGCCTGTTTTGGCCCATCTCTCTGATGTCCAAGCAGACAGCACCTGATTTATTCAGTGGCGTGTTAGGAGTTTCCGTCTAAATTATCAGACCACAGTGCGCTGCATTGCTTCACAATGTGAAACGGTGACAATGTCACGAAAATGCTTAACAATGCCACGGTACCCTGTCACAGCATTTTTAAGCTGTAAAGTGACACTTTAATACCAAAACTAATAAAGAGGCAATTTTGCACAGACGCCGTAACACCAAACGGTACCGTCAGCTGTGACTGGTTTGAAAACCATTACTGCAACTTATTACGACAAAGTAATTAATGGTGTTATTAAATGTACTCGGGCTGCATATGTGTAGGTGGAGACGTGCTAATTAAGCCTTCAGGGGCAGTAGCCCAAATTTAAGTGCCACATGCTGTAATCATGGTTTTGCCAGAGACTTCGCGAGGGAGTCGTCCGAGACTTGGAGAGGCTGGAGCGAAAGAAAGCAAACCTGCGGCAGCTAGAGGAGCAGATCGTCCTTACCAAGCGGTTGGAGGCAGAGCGTGATCAAGGAGCAGCCGCATCGCAGGGACCCTAGATGTGGATACCTGAGTGCTGGTGGGGGCTAGGGCGGCCTCATCGTCTGCGTAACTGCATAAACGTGCTGAATGGATTTTAGCCACAAACTGCTTCATACAAAGTGGATTATGTTCCATGAGATGAGCAGGTTTCCGTACTTCGTATTGTATGTTTTTGTGCTGTGAGGATATTGGAGAGTATCCCATCTTTCATGGTGTTTGGTCTCCAGGCTGTAGTAGCAACCAACTGGTCGTTGAACTGCACGTGAGGCCAGATGGCGATTTTCATTTTGGCCTCCAGGGGGCGCAAGGGCCATGAATGTGACGCAAAAGCAGGCCCGCGAAAGCCGGCATTAGTCTGCTATGAAGACCACAGATTTTCAGTGTAATGAAGAACTAATTCCATCATGTTGTTCCTCACAGGAACCCTGATGTGGACAGTAACACACAATTAAACTTTTTGTGCTTTTCTTCTGACATACTGTTGATTTTCATTTAAATTAGAAAGTTCAGCTAAAGTTTAACCACTGTCAATCATTATGATGAAGTTGTGGCAGTTTTATGACTCAAGAGTTTTATATAATGCCTTAAGTATCAGTTTACTGGTCCACAGGTTCAGGCATTATCTCAACATTTTGGGTCTTCTGTCAGTTTTGAAACAACCTTACGAAATATTTAAAGCAGTAATTGCTTCATAAGCATCATCTCTAATAAGCTCATGATATCTGTGCATAATCATCCCTATGACATGCACTGTCTAATTTGATTACAGCTAATGGGGAAGCCTGTAGCACAGATGGATTCGTAGCCAGAAGGTTACTAGTTTAAGTCCCCTTGGTGGTTTTTGTTCCTTAGTGGTTTTAAGGAGGTCCTGACACTAATCTTCTACTGAAGGCACTGTCTGAGAAACATATTCCGAAGGTACAGGAGACTTCAGACGTACAAAGTTACACAGTTTGAGCACTAGATGTAGCTTCTCATCAAATCACACCGCAGAGGCCGTATGAAAAGGGTACTGTGTTGTTTCTTGTTTGCCTTTGGTGGGGAGGGATTACACAACTCAAGTCCTAATTTTACAGGCACTGAAGGGAAAAGGTGTACAATCGTGCAGTGAGCTTAAGTAAATTGTGGTTTCTGGGAGCCCTGGCCTGGGAAAGGGCAGTGTTCTGGTGTATTTCCAACCTGGGCACAAGCAGTGCATTGTACAGTGACTGGGAAAGCCTACAGTTCTGTATTGCTGGGGCTTTGGAGTATTACATGCCGAGGATTGAGTGTCCCATGGTTAAAGGCAGAATGATATTGGTGTTGTGGCCAGAGACACCATTACTTTCACGATGGGACTGGGTTGAATGTACCCTGTCATAGGTTCACATAATAAAGTAATAAAATAGATTATTATGTTGGTTGTGCAGATAAAAGGGAATGGGATAATATAAAGACACCATTGTGTATTTCCCTATTTCTAATCTGGTTGACACTCATGCGTGAGTCCAAAGTCAGTGCTGCTGTCGGGACTGCCACTCATATCCCCAGGAGAACCAGACCTCAGACCTCTATCTGACTGCAGCTGGTGTTGCTGCAGCTGAGTATGCAGCAGTGAAGTTCTGCCCATCTCCCCAGGGCAGAAGCAGGGTGGGGTGGAAAGCAAGGTCTGATTGGGGATAAGGGAAGAGTTTGCCTCCCCACACGAAGTCTGAAAGAACAGCAGGGTGAAATTACCACATTATCTGCCCCGGTCCTTAGAGCAGTGTTTCCCAATTCAGTCATCTGGGACCCACAGACAGTCCACATTTTTGCTCCCTCTGAGCTCTCTGTCAGACAGTCCACATTTTTGCTCCCTCTGAGCTCTCTGTCAGACTGTCCACGTTTGCAAAGAAAACGCGGCCCGGATTGGGAAATGCTGCTTTGCAGGACAGGCTCATCGACCTTTGGCTGATTGTCAGCCCTGGTCCTGGCAGTACATGGGTAACATAGATCTATCCAAGCGCTATGTTAACTTTCCCATGTGATACTGGGCCGGTTGGCATTTTCAGGCGAGCTGGAAAGGCTGCACCCTGCAAGCCGAAGTGACCTTTGGAGCTGGAATTCCTGTGGTGTGGGCGTCTACTTAACTACAGCACACTGCGCTCAGCTGGCCTTATTCAGGGCAACCAAACCAGCTTTAACATTAAAGAACTGTAACCATTGCTTAAAAAAAAAAAAAAAAACTTCTGACCAAAATGACAAAGCAGCAAAACGGCTTTACTCCCACGGAGCCTCTAAACGTTTTCTGACTCATGAGAGGAATCCACAGTGTGTGTGCAGTTTGGGTTTTTAGGTCTGGAGATAATTTAGCTGAAATTGTCATGATGATACCAGAACACACTTTCAGCTCATAGAATGGTAACGGATTGATCATGACAGATGCTCGCACTTAGCGTTGGGTTTCAATCAGATTGATACCCCTATTCAAATCTAGCCCACAATTCCAAATCCAGGCCTTGTTTTCAGTTCTCCCAGGTAGTTAGGTTAATAATTACTGATTCTGATTGGTCAGAGGCTTCACACCTGGCTCACAGGTAAAGGGAGGCTGGAAAATCAGTGCTGGTCCCTTGGGGAGTGTGATTTGAATAGGTCTGCAATATGCTAAGCAGTACACTAAGGGAGGGTGGTTCAGCTGAAGCCAGAAGCTGTCACCACACTTGATGTGCATGTAAGCAGAGGAAAACGCTATAGGGTGTCTAACTGATTTTGTTTCAACAGAATTTTTTTACTCACTTGTGAGTCCACCAGTACATTGGATTGAAAATGTAAAGAAGACATCCATCCATCCATTTTCCAAACCGCTTATCCTTTTTGGGTCGGCGTAGTGAAATGAAATTATGCTTTATTTGAAATTTGTACATGTATAGGTACAGAATCTCCATAATTTACCACCTATGCAACTTAGGACTCGCACATATGCACACAATTTTTAAAAAACATCAGTAAATGTACATAAAAATAAATTTTTGGTAGCAGTACGCCCCGCAGTGCTGTGCTACCTAGTTGATGTGGGAAAGTACTGTGCTACACAGCAGCGGGACCATCCCATGTGATTATCCAGATTATCCCTTTCCAACATATGTCCATTTTGACGTACAAGTTGTTAGTTGGAACGGAAGCCAGTGGTTAATGGTACAGTCTGTACATTGGAATTCTTTAGTGTTGGCCTCCTATCTCACTTTCCTGTAAGACACATATACATGTCAGAGAGAAGCTTGGGGTCAGAGGACAGGCTCTGGCTTAGTCCTGAAGAGGACTCTCATGTTGTAACCTGAGGTACTTAACCAAATTGCACCAGTAAAATACCCAGCTGTATAAAAGAAATTAAGTAAAATAATTCAAAATAATTTAAACAACAAATTCACAGAGCCGCTACTCCTCTGTCCTGTATGTGGGCTCCTTTTCTCTGGAGGAGGTATTTTGGGCTGGATGTTGTGGGATTCTGGGGGTGCTGGTCAAGCCCCCAGCTGGGCTGTTTGTGCAGCTGTGATTGCAAGGGGAGGGAGTGAGATGAGATCAAGCATGTCAGCGGGGTGCAGTGCAGTGTGATACAGCTCAGCCCAGCGGGGCAGCATCTGGGGTCTGAGAAATCACAGAATAGACTCAAATTACAAGCTTTTCTGGGCAATAGGGCTCTAAAGACTACAGACCAAGTTAAAAATCTTGGTTTAATAATAGATGAGGACGTTAACTTCGTTGTAGTTGCTGAAGTTATAACTAAAGTCTTAAAGATATAGCGAAAATCAGAGGCATGCATACATTTATCTCCAGTTAACTGGTCTGTTGTAATGGTCTCCTGGCTGGTTCTCCCTGAAAGTCCATCAAACAACTTCATCTTATTCAAAATGCTCCCGCTACGATCGTAACTCCTTCCATACCTCCTACCAGTGAACGTAAAAATGCCTCATGTCACTACTTTTAAGTCCTTGTTAAAAACGGTTCCATACTTGTCTGCTTTCACATGATTTTCACATGATCACCTAATTCTAATGATTTATGTGACCAGCACTTTCTCACTTTTAATATCTGTTTTTAAATGTTTTGCGTTTTTATGTCCATTTAAGTATGGATTTTATTTCATATTTCATTTTCTGTAAAGCACTTTGATTTTTTTATGTTTGAAAATATGCTATAATATGCTTGGCTCAAGCCTGGGATTTTTGCTGGTCTTTTAACTGCTTAAAATAGTTTTGAATGGTTTTAAATTTCTGAAAATGGTTTGAAAACAATGAACATGGAATCGTGACTCAGATGTTAGACACTCTCACATTTGTTGTGGGCTCAGTTAGTTTGACCCTTTTGTTAAATTAGCTTTGATGTCACTTGTGTGGGAATATTTCAGGATATACCGTATCAGTGCTAGAACACCACGAGAACCCAAATGAGCATTACAATGAGGTAATTGCATTCATAGGTTTTTCGTGGAATGACATAAATACCTGTGTGATATATCAATTACATTTTTGAAATAACAAACGTTATTTTTTTAAAATGTTAATTTCTCTGGCATTGGTTTAGCAGCCCTTTAAAGAATCTGTTACAATCTGAGGACCCAGATCAAGCTGTTTGTTTATTCCCAAAATTGATTTACTGGTTAGGGTTGCTGGAAGTGGACAGACAGGACAAAAAGCAGCATCGTATTGAAGAAAAGTGAAGCGTAGCTCAAAAAGTACAGCATTCAGGTTGATGAATCATGTCAATGAAAGACTGATGACAGTGCAGTTAGGAAGAGGTTCTGTAATTACTATCTGCACAACTAACCAGAATACAGCTTCATCCACTTGAAACTTGTTGTTTTCCAGAACAAAACCAAAGCTATTCATACGCTATAAACACTTTGGAAAAATCAGCTGCACTCTAAGAATTCAGACAATGTTTTCCAGTAACTCCCTCCCACAAACCTCTACACACAACAATGACTGGCTTTTCAGAAAAATCAAAGATTATCTAGCTTTCATTTGTGGAAAAAAATACTGGCAACTGGCCAACAATCTAGAGTTTATCAAGGGGCTCAAAAGACAAAACAAACAAACAAAAGATAATGCAGCATGAAGGAAAACCTCACCAAGTTGATTCCCGATTCGGTCTCACCTCCCACCTGAAGATTCCTTGTACATCGTGTTCAGCACATGACACGAATCTCTCGGCCAATCACATTAACCTATTATTTTTTAATCACTCAGGAAAAGATCTGTGCGGTCAATAAGTGTCCATCTGGTCAGTATAATTCCACCGTAGGTTTATATTTACAGATGTAAAGCTTGTTCACAGGTGTGAAGACTCTCTCTCAGGTCTTTCTCTCAGACTTAAAGAAGAAATGAAACAAGAAATGAATAACGCAAGTGAAATACTGATCTCATGTTTGCTCATCATTAATAAATCATGACATATTTTATTTCACGAAACTATAGTATTTGTTCATAATTTGTACTTCAGTAGTAACTGAGGCACCATTTAGTTTTTGTGTCCCGTCAAATAAAGTGTTTGTGATCAGCATCACAAAATCTATCTGGCACATTAAAATTGATAAAGGAAACAAAAGCCTTGTAAACCAGTGTAATTTCCCACAAGAGATTCTATATCTTTCTTCAAGTGCTACAAAATTTCAGGTAATTAAGTGATGAGTGGTTTATAAAAATGCTTGTTTAAAATCAACTGATTTAATTGATTTAGCTTGTTAGTTTTTTTGTCCTACTTCATAAATGATTAAAGGTAAACCAGGCTGCTCTGTATGTGGGGTCCTCAGTGAAGCCCAGGCCTTTGAACAGTCTGAACGACAGCTTGTTCTCCACCTCGATAAAGCAGTAGGCGGGGTAGCCACCGCTGTGGAGCCTCTGCGACATCGCATTTATCACGATTTTGGCGTAGCCCTTGCCCCGGTGCTCAGGCATGGTATAGAGCATCCCCATGCACCCTGAAGGGTACGTGAGGATCCATGCAACGGCCCGGCCCTCCCCGTCCTGCAGACAGCAGGAGGGGAAGTGTCGAATCATGTCCTGGATCATCCTGACGCTGTGCTTTCCAGCCCCAAACTTCCAGCTCTGGTTCACCAGGTCCACATGAGACTCATCGAGGGAGGATATCCTGAACCCCAGCGCACTGCGAAAGAGCCAGAAGATGGCATCAGCCTTGAAAGTCATCTCAAGACAGCCATACACAACCATGAAAGGATGAGGCATATAGGTGACGACTACAGAAGCCTATGTTGGAACATGCACCCAGGGTCTGGCATCCTTGCACCCCTGGTAGTATTACTGTACCTGTCCACTGTGGGAAGATGACTCACACACTGCAGTTTTAGCATGTAACATGTCGTCACACGTCTCCATGACACCCCCCTACACTCAGCTTCCTCCTTTAAGACGGCCTCCAGTGACAGATCGGCTGCTGGAGAGCAAAGGGAAACATCACTGGGATAGATCTACACAAAGAAAGATTACATTTATTTAGGAAATGCTTTTATCCAAAGTGCCAAGAAGTTCAGAAGAGTAAAAAAAGTTACACATTTGAGCCAGATACCAAGACAGAAAAACTTTCCCCAGTTGATAATTGCCGGCTCTGCCAAGACTTTCCTTAAGGAGGCTCCATCTTTAGCAAAGACACTCGAGTCTTTGAAGAGATCTCCTTCCTGCAATCAGGAGAACTTCATCAGTGAACGAGTAAGAAAAAAAATCAGCATTACAAATGGAAAAACACAAACAAAATACAAGCACTAAACACGTCATCTGTAGTACCGTCTCAACTCTTGGCTTGCAAATTATTGCCGTGAAATTAGGCCAAGTATCCACTGCAATGTCCATCGGGTAAGATCTTATTCTGCTCATTTGCAAAAGGTGTCCATAAACCTAGGAAATCAACACATCACTATCAATATCCAAATTTTATTTCTTTTCAAAGACCAGTTAATATGTCACTCTATGACCAGTTTGGCCATGGACTCACCTGCTGGGACTGTGGCAGGAAGGTCTCCAGGACTTTTGCTGCGTCCATCATCTGAGCCTTGGTAAGCACCTTCATTTTCCTTTGATGTCTCAGTGATCATAAAACTGAACCTCTAGCCTGAGAGACTGAGAAAATGAAGAAGATGTATTGCAAGTTATGCTAAGGGATTTAAAGGAAAATATCAGAACAAATACAGAAAACCAGACAGAGGGTGTTTACAAATACCAAGAGCGTGAAGATTGGAACTATACTTCGGCAGTGGGACTTGATGTCAAACGGGTACACAACACCCAGAGGCTTGGACTGACAAAAGATAAAATAACTCTAAAACAATTTTTCTAAATTCACCCAGTCCGTGGGATACATTTTCGAGATGACTTCTGTGGTCTGTGGAATGAGTTTTGAAAATGTAACGAGTGGGTCTTGGTTCCCAATACTGTGAAATAGCCCACAATGAGGAAGTATGACTTTAGGTCATTGACGGACAGTCTCATGGACAGAATTTGGAGTTTGTGAATTTGCTGTTCAGCTGTGGAAGTACATCGGCTGCGAGATGATGCATCATGTGACACGCGTGTATAACCTAACGAACGGAGAATTAATATTTACAAATCTGAAAACGTGTATTTCTGTTACGTTAAATATAATGTTACGATATACTATTTTAATGTTATTTCTATGTTTTTAATAACGTAAAAATAAACGTTCTTTAGAAAGCACATCTCATTTAAATAATTTAAGATTATTTCAGTGTGGTCGGATCGAAGGTTATACTTTATAAACCAATAACCGGAACAAAACGTCTGATTTAGAATACATGTGAAACGAAAAACAAACCAAGTTCTTATACCACAAAACTGATTATTTAGTTACATTCTGTAAACCTCTTTTTTACACGACTGCAAATATGCATATATGAACAACATAAATCGGGGATTTTGTTTATGCTACCTTGACAGTCACGCGATAGAAAAGTCGGTCCGTCAAATTTTTCGAGGATCTGCACCCCGGCGCCTGTCAGATTTTAACCGTTATCTGCAGGATGCCTTCTTTAGATCAACAAGAAGTCAAAGAAAATTCAAACATGTCTCGCCGCGACCTGCACCGACCTACGGGGAGGCGTGGGTGGACATCCAAGCCGGCCCCCAACCCGGCCCCCACCCACCCACCCGGCACGCAGCACGTCGCCGGACGAGCCTGTTCAACAAGCACGTTGCAGCGCTTGATTTACGCCTGTATATTGAAGGTACCATAGTGGCGTTGGTAGCTAGTTAATAACTTTCCTCCGTGTAGTTGGAAACCTAAATGAAGCGTACCGAAGAGCGGGTTATGGGTAGGCCTATATAGCCCTTCATAGTTGCGTGCCCGAGGTGTCCAGCTGACCATGCATGTGTTCAGATTTCGTTACTGCCCAAGAATTTACGGCAATGTTCTTGTGTGGGACGCATCAGCGTTTACACTGAAAGCATGTGGTCAAATGCGTCTCAGACCACATCGGCAAACGGTGTGAGTTATGGGATCACAATGCGTCTTGGGGGTCTTTTACACTTGTATTAATCGTGCGTTCCATTTTTTTCTGAAAAAGCAAGATTTTTTGCTTAGCGGGACAACTTGTCGGATTTAAGGTACCTCAGTTTAAATGGCCTTTATCTTCGTTCACTTACAATTAGCCCGAAATACCTTAAATACGACAAATAATCCGACTAATCATGAAATCCAATTCTAGCCCGGTTAATTGTTAGCAATATCAGTTGATAAGACATTACGCGCGGTGCTTTACGTATAAAACTCCGTAGCAACACGCCCACAGATAAGTTGGACGGTATAGTGTGTGCGACCGATTTAATGAGAAGTAGTGCAACGTAAAGGAACGAAATGTGTTTCCTCTGGTGTGCTGTACAAAAAATAGAGAGAGGTATAATTTAAAGAATGGAATTAAAAATAATAAAAAGTAGTAAAAGAGCGTTGGCTGTAAAGTGACAGTGCAGTACGTCTGAGATGTGGGGGCTGTGGGATCAGTGGGAGGCAGAGATCAGGGAAGGTGCTGTTCCTAAGCCTAGAGCAGGGGTGACCAACCTTCTTGAAACTGAGAGCTACTTCACAGGTACTGAGCCATACGAAGGGCTACCAGTTTGAAACCCTCTCCTAAACTTATCCAAACCATGTATAATAAACATGTTTTTAAGGCTTTATTTTTTTAGATATTGTCATTTTCAAATCTATATAAATGAAAATGTGATTAAAGAAGAATAGCAACGGGATAAAATTCAATTTTAGACACTGCTCACTGGTGAGTTGTGCTATTTTTAGAACAGGTCCGTGGGCGACTCATGTGGTCCTTGGGGGCATCCTGGTGCCCACGGGCACCATGTTGGTGACCCCTGGCCTAGAGGATCTAGCCCTGATACTGCGTAGCCTGATGATATGGGGGGACACAGAGCGCATGCAGGGGGGTGGGGGCCCTTATGTTGTAGGAGGTCTAACCCTAACCCTCCTGCCTGATGCTAAGGAGACAACCAGAGCATCTAAATACACGATGCTGTGCCATAAGGAAAATGGTCCTTCCCTTAATGAAAACAGCCTTTGATGTTCTGCCAAAGCTGCAGCAGGGGAGGTATATTCCACGAAGCGGGACATTTTCCATTAGCCAGATAATTAATGCTTTATTGATCCCTGTGGGGAAATTCTCTTTATGCCCCCCTCAACTTGCTCTCTTTAAGTAAGAGCAAGCTGGCCACAAAGGGCAGCCACCCATTGCAGAACCTCACTGCAGAAACTCCTACTGGACAGCTTTCCATTTGGTTTCAGTTATCCAGCTAACTGAGAAATTCTGCTTTGAGGAATACCCCTAGGCTTTAGAAAACCTTTTAAACCTCTATCCCATACTCACTTGTACTGAAGACCACATGAATATACACTACCAGTCACACCACAGGTTTTTACCAATTTTCCATTTATTTCATAAACTGCAGATTTTTTTTATACTTAAGCACTGAAAACTGAGTGAATAACTATAAATGAAAATACAAGTAAAATAGAACAAGTTTCCTTTATAACATGGAAAGATTATATAACAGTGCATGTACAAGGAAAACCTGTACAAGGAAAAACTTTAACAGGGAGAGAGTAAGTTGGAACGCTGCAAGGCGATGTGCAATGAAGTCTGGATTCCAATGGAAAGACCCATTAAGAGATGAGAAACAAAAAATGCCCACATTCTGCCATTTCACAAGGGGGGGGGGGGGAGACAAACCACACTTTAAACCCTTTATGGCAAAGGACTACTAACACTTGTGAAAAACAACAGGCAAATATGATGTTTTAAGAATCATTTATTAAATGTAATGATTGCATAGCTTGAAACATCAATTAGTCCTATGACTGTTACATTTTTTTTTTTAATTCCTAAAAAGGAAGCCTGCCTAAAAAAATCCAATATACATCATCATGCCAGAAAAAAGCAAAGTGCAAGGATAAAATACTAAAAATTGCACGTGTTAACTGCAGGTACAGAGAGGGTTAACTGAGGCAAAGCAGATCCAGGCAGCAGTCAGCTCATTGCTTGCAGTCATCCTTCACCATCTTGATGCTTCCTAGCCAGGGCTGGCTCCACACCTCAAAAGTGCAAACGTAGGCCTGAAACAAGAAAGTGACCACAGCTAAATCAGTCAAGGTGTCAGGTGGACTTGCTGAAAGGATCCCCCTCCACACACACACACACACACACACACACATAGATGCTTCAGCATTACATGAAGCCAATCCAGACACGTTACATACAAGAGTCACATTATATGTGCATCAATAAAAGCCTCAACAGTGAGACTCAGCACTAGATGAATTGATTCAGGCACTTAGGAGCTACTAGCCACAGTCCTGATGTGAATTGGCTAACGTTAAAATTCATGTCACTGGGAAGAAACTATGGCAAGCTGCAGTAATGTAAATGTCTGCTTTGATGTGTGGGGGAGGGTTTGTGGGGAGGAATGGGGCTCCTTACCTTTGCCTGGTCTACGTCCATATGTACTGCACACGACGACTCAGCACCGTCTTTCCTGCAAGCGGTTCGGCCCATGTTCACTTTGAAAATGTACTTAATGCCACTGACCACCTGGGAAGGGGGCAGTACATTAAAGAAATTAAGGAATATCTCAAAAAGCGCCTCTGAGTAAAAGCACAGTTCATTTAAGATGCTTTTAGGCAGATATTAAGTTAAATTCCGCTTTAATACAAGTGAATTATTTTCCACAATCCATCGACCCTGATCTGGATACGCGGTGGTAAGATGGATAGATATATTTCCCACAGGAACGAAGTTGAATTACTCGTTTGCAGTCATTTTAATAAGGGAATAATTAATATGCAACTTAATGTTAGATACGAAGCCCAAAAATGAGTAGAAGTCGTCATGTGGTCAACATAAAAAACACGCCGTACATAGAGAAATGCAGAGAAAAACACTGACTGAACATTTCACCTGATTCATGTTAATTCAGGTCCAAAAAAACTAAAATTAACCATAGTAAATGTATCTATGAACTGAATTCTGAAAAGTCAATTTACAAAGAGATCCAATGGTTAATCAAGCATGGGAAATTAGCCGACCGCGTTACATCACATAGATGTTAATCGGGCAGACGTGAAATAATATCGGCGTATCGGGTTGGTGGCTTGATAAGCGATTTACACTAGAGAGTGAACAAAAAACGACGCACTACCACTGCAAATATTATTTAAAAAAATGTATTTGGCGTAACTGCTGAAATAAAAGTTCTACTTTTATTTTCAGGTTTAAATGGCTGCCATCTTCTTCCAGTTTTATTCAGTTTAATGGCGACCGAACTGATGCGTTACATAACGGATTAGCCCTAACAATAGCATCACATTGGACACGACGCATGTAGCGACCTCACACCATGTATCTTTGGTTATTTAAGGCTATGGCAATTTAATACAACCCAAAGGAAATCAGAAATAAAATATTAATATAATTCCTATGACAGTTTTAATAATTATTCAATCTCATTGCGGATGACGCATGCCATTAATACATTTTTTAAGAATAAAAGACGAAAAGACATTTTAACGACTACAAACCTGTTTCTGGACCTTGATTACGCTTGAAACGTCTCTGAGATAGGCGTCGTTGCTGCGCTTGTTGTGCTCGGAGACAGCCATCTGAAGGGCATCTTTCACTCCCGGCTCGTTCAAATTCGCATCCATCGGCCCACCGACAAGGGTAGCATTCGCCACCATTAAAAACACAGCGAGAAACAGCACTATTGCTTTCCAAGAAAAGCCCATTTTCCCCTTTACACCAATTTAGTCTAGGAGTGTAAATTAAACACGTACCGTTCGCCGCAGAGGGTATATAAACATTCTAATCATGTGACTTTTCTTTTTCAGTGAGTGGGCGTGGCTCATAGGTATAAATCCGACAGCTCATTGGCCGATGCTGGAAGTCGCCGCTATGCCTCTCCGCGTCCGCCATGTTAGAGAGGTCAAGAGCCGCTAGTAAACAAATCAAATCGCTTTTGTTCTCACATCGCTAGAACTGGGGATTGAAAGCATTTGGTCACGAGTTCTTATGAACAGCGCAGTACATTAATTAAAGCAAACTGAACATACTGTACATAAAGACTACATAAAACAACCGTAGAACAATACAACTTTACAAATGCACAAATTAAAAAAGAAACTGTAATACACATACAAGACACCATATATAATATAGATAGTATGCATACAGTATGCTATGGGGCAGACAGACGTACTGTAGGTGTAATACAGTACAGTTTAGTGATACGATTCTGAATTAATTCTGAACCGATTTTCATGAAGTTGTATTTGTTATAAACGTGAGAATTTAACGATCCTCCAGTTTTCGATCCCCTGTTATCCAGCTACTTTCAAGTCTTTATTCCTTTTACTAAATACTTAATAAAACACCCTTTTGTTAGATCAGTGCACTTGCTCTCGTCCCGCATCGTACTGTATATGACACCGTAGACATTAGGTCTCCCCGAAAAGTGACACCGTGTAAACAATGGCGATTCAGCTCGCGTTTACTTTCTAAATATACATTTAAAGATTTTCTTTTATCTGAAAAAAGTTTTTCTGAGACCAATAACATGCCCGAGGATAGCAGCTGCATTCTCTGGGAGACTTTTAAAGCTTATAATTCATGGACAAGTTATCTAATTTCTCCCCTAGTAAAAAATGGCTGAACTAGATTGACATATCAGATGAGCTTTTAAAACCAGTACTCCGCCACTCTCCAGACTTGTATAGGAGATGCCTCCCACTCCAGTCTGAATATGATTTGCTCTCAACTTGAAAGACAGTTGTTACAGTACATACATTCTTGAATTTGGTGTCGAAGTAGGGATGCTCTTGGAGAGCCAGGCATGCGCATTAGCACTTTGAGATTAATCCCCAAAATCAAATCACCAATAGGTTACTCCGTTTCAGAACCTCATGAAATTAATAATGTCTTTTCAACTTAATTTTCAAAACTGAATAGATTTGGGCATGGTTAGTAATAAATGATTGGGACTAATGCAGTTACATTGTACTTCTCGATCTCAGCTATGAGAAACCTAATAAAGATATTTAAAAAAATAGTTTTTGAGTATCACAGTAATGGTGTCAGAGATTGCCCTTCTCTTTGCTATCATTTTGCGGCACTTCACCAATTTCTGTACGTCTCAAAAGGAGGACGAAATGGGGTATGTGAGAAGAAGCATTCCAGTGTTCCTGTAGTTGTACTTGTGCAAATGGTAAATTAATGATTGTATCATTTCCATGTTACTTCAAATTTTTTGAAGAGGTGTTCAGGGAATATATTGTTGTCATTTTTATCAGTTTCCTTGCAATTTGTATGGTAGTTAGTTATACCTTTGGGGTGTCACAGTTCTTACATTTTCTTTAGGTGTCTGGATCGGTCTCTGTCAGTCATGTCATGTTCTCCTTTGGCCAGCAGATGTCACTGGTTATTCTGTTTCACCCCCAGCTTGTTCCTGATTACTCCTACCCTGGTGTTTCATTAGTGAAATGTTTTCACCTGTCTCTCATCTGGTATTCATTATCTGTTTCTATAGAGAGGGGAGCAGAACTTTATATAATGATATCAGGGGTATGAGTAATAAAAATTATGTGGTTTTTATGGGTGACTTTAATTTACCAGGTATACAGTAAATGCATCCGGTCATGGGCTCTACAGCAAATGAACTTGATATGGTGGAAATGGTACAAGACTGCTTTTTCACCCAGTTTGTGAAATCTCCCACCAGAGGACAAGCCATTCTCGATCTTGTGCTTTCAAATAACCAAGACAGAATTGGTAAACTCGAGGTTCTTGATCTACTTGGCAGCAGTAATCATAATGCCATTAAATTTGAGGTGAATTTTCATGTCCATAAAGCAAAGTCAGTAATAAAAATATACAATGTTAGGAAGGCAAACTGTAATGGGATGAGACAGAAATTGGAGACGGTAAACTGGATGGAGGTAAATACCAGAACTGTAGAGTAGCCTTGTGAATGTTTACATAGCACATTATTGCAAGCTGAAGGGGGATTCAAACCGGTTTCCTGCAAAATAAATAAATAAATAAACTGTGAAGACACAGCCAAGGTGGTTTTCAACTAAAATTAAGAAGAAGGTCAAGAGGAAAAGGACTCTGTACCATCAATAGAAAGAAATAAAAGATGTTGGGATAAAGCAGGAGTATTTTAATCTACAGGCCTGTTCTACATGAATTGTCCGATTCCCCCCTCTACTTGGCTGGTTTCTGTATTCTGTTTCACCCTGCTGTGTAACTTTCCTTCAGTTTATTAAAGCTGCATATGGATCATCACCCATTCCGCGCTTCCCGTCATGACGTTAGGTAAGAACACAAATAACTGAGATGTGAGCACAACAATTCATCTGAGAGCTTAAAATAGCAAACTGAAAGCATGAAAAAAATGTCTGCACATTTTACCCTCCCTCTACTATTTCATGGGCATATCAACATGTCAAGCTAAATTGTGAACTCGATTTAGCACATGCTGTCTGTGGCCTTTCCAGGGCTCTGTATATGGTATATATGGTACATGTACTATAGCTCTTACTGCAATGTGATTGAAAATGTTGGTCATAGTGCAAATGAGAAATGGATAGAAATATTTAGATATATAAATGTAATTTTAAGACATTAAGATACACACAAAGAAATAGTTACCTAACTAATTGGTGGAGAAAGATTGTGCAAATTGGCCTGTAAGTGGAATGTGCAATAAATGAGTGTAGTTTCAGTGTTGTGAACTCAGGGCATTTGTGTAAAAACACATTTATTGGCTTTCATAATTCCAGTTGATCCATCCAGTAATTCTAGGAATTGTAGAGGTTGGAGGTGTGAGAGGAGTAGGGATTAGATGGGGGGAGGGGTGACAGGGTTGTCCAGAGAATACATTGTTGTTTATCCAACAGCATCTTTTCTATTTAAAATTACATTTAATTTTGCAGTCCATTTAACTTTTTCTTGCTCTGAATCTGTTTAAGAGGAATCCTAAGACAACTATACGCAAAAATTGAGCCCTGAAGTAAAGAAATAATTAGTTCAATTATAACATGATTCAAATCATTATCAAGTGATATGAAAAAATCATTGTAATATTGTGTTGTATCACCCAACTCTAGCTACAAAGTACACTAGGCTACAAGGGCTCAGGGATGATATTCCTTGCAGTCATTCTTTACCAGCTGGGTATTCTTCAGCCAGGGCTGGCTCCATACCTCAAAAGTGCAAATGTAGGGCTGAAAGGAAAAAAATTCAACCAGTTGAAGAAGACTCTAATCAATTAATATGTCAAGGTGTCAGATGGACTTGCTGAAATGACGCCCCCCCCCCCCCCCCACACACACACACACACACTCGCAAAAACTCACATATATGTCAACATTACATGAAGCCATCACAGACATATTATATAAAAATCACATTTTATATGTGTCAATGAAAGCTCCAAATCACCAAAACTGTGACTCATCGCATGATTTAAGTTGGTGGCTAAGAGGCTGAGTAATTTGTGTCACTGGGAACAAGCCATCCCAGTGAGGAACATGGGAAGCTGTGTGGGGGTGTTTGGGGGGGGGGAATGAGGCTCCTTACCTTTGCCTGGTTTGAACCCGCTTCACACACACGACCTTTCTTGCAAGTGGTACTACCCAGAACTACTGTGAAAATGTACTTCATGCCACTGACGACCTGTGGGCAACATTTTTAAAGAAAGTGATCAAGTTTTAAATAAGCACCTCTGATTACAAGAACATTTGATTAAAGACACATTTAGGCAGATCAATAAAAAAAAAACAAGCAAAATATTACTGGCTGAAAATTTCACATGATTCATGTTGATTCAGGTTCAAAAAGGCTTAACCATAGTAAATGTCTCCATGAACTACACATCCCCTCATTAAACATCGTACTTCACTACATATATTCTGAAAAGTCAGCATAGAGTTTAAATGATCAAATGGTTAATCAAGTATGGGAAATTAGCCAACCGCATTACATTGCATAGATTTTTTTGGGGGTACGTAAAATATAATAAAACATTTTTGTTTCTATCAAGACAGGTGTATCAGTTTAGTGGCTTGATAATTGGCTTACAGAGTAAACAAAACATCATTGAAACCTTACAATTGTACCCAATATTAATAATAAAATACATTAGACCTTCACAAAAACAGTAAGACTGAGTTACATATAGCACGTTCACAATTTATAACCAGGCACCAAACATTAACTCTCTCTCAAATAAAGCTTCTGCTTTAAATGAATACATGTTGCTTTTATTTTCATACATAAATAGCTGCAGTTCTCTTTTAGTTTTGTTTTCTTCAATCTAACAGTGACTGCCTTATGTACGGATTACTGGGATATGACACACCACGCAACTCAGTAAAAGTATTTTTGGTTAAGTACAGTATTTGGTAACTTAATTACATCCCAAAGGAAATGGGAAATGAAAGGTTAAACAAATCCTGTTACAGTTTTAATTATTATTAAATTTTATTACTGATGACGCATGCCATTAATCCTTTTTTTTTAATAAAAGACAAAAAGAGACACATTTTAATGACTACAAACCTGTTTCTGGACCTTGACTACTTTTGACACCCCTCTGAGATAGGCGTCGTTGCTCTGCTTGTTGTACTCCGAGACAGCCCACCGAAGGGCCTTTTTCACTTCTGGGTCATTCAAGCTGGCATCACTCGGTGCACCAACAAGAGTGGCATTTGCCACCATTAAAAATGCAACGAGACAGAGCCCTACTGCTTTCCAAGAAAAAGCCATTTTCCCAATTTACACCGTTTTAATCTGGACGCATAAACAGAAACGTAGTTCGCTGGTGAGGTTATATAAACACTGAAGTCATGTGACTATTGGTTTTGGTGAGGGAGTGGCTTGTACGGATATTTGCGAGCATAGGCAGGCCATACAAGTAGAGTCTTGTCCTTCTTTTTTGAGTAATGGAACTTTAACCCTGTCTAACAGAGGCACATTAACATAGCAGACATCCCAGCTCTCCTGGAAGTTCCATGAGTCTCCTGCAGCTCCCTGGACAATATCCTGGATATTTGTTTTTTAAAGTGAGAGTAAGCAAAGACCTCAGAGCTTATAGAACCTTTGGAGAAGGAGAGTGGGCGACAGGGAAGTGTTATCAATATGTGGGAGGCTCCCGGAACTAACAGGAAAGGTGGGATGTCTGACAGTCAGAACGCTGTTATTGAAAATCATGTAGCTGCAATTCAGGTCATTTACTTCTCGACTAAATAGCAGGGCAGCTAAGATACATGATCCAAGTGGTTTCAAACAGGGTGTGACTTGGTTCCGGATGTGGTATTTCCAGCATTTCAGAAACACCCACCCTCCCGTGATTGTCACTTAGTACAGTGTCTAGTGATTACAGGGAATTGTGTAATTAAAAAAAACATTTCTGTGGCCAAAACACCTTGCTAATGGCTATACAAACTATAGTAACCAGAGTGACACAGGGTGTTAAATAATGAGATCTCTATGTGGTTGTGCAACGTTCAGCATTTAACAAAAACTGGGAGACAATATGACATGACATTTCACAGTGTGGCTGAGGCACCCTTTTTACATTAAAGTTAGGGCATTACCGAAAGAGAATGTTATGCGGAGTGGCAAGATTAGCAATATACACAGTACTAATTACGAAACACAATGAACAATATCAGTGTTCTTATCCTGTTTTAGGGGATTGGGCATTGATTAATCTTATAGCCTTGCCCCCCCCTTGTTGACTTCATGGCTATGACCTTGGTTCATAGAACATAGAAATATTCACAGTTGACTGTATATTGCATGACTTACCAAACTAACTTCACAGTTCAACTATATTATGTTCATAGTTGAACTGAAAACTTCACTGTCAGAATGATTAAACACCAGAAGAGGCATCCATGAACTTCAAAATAAAGCAAGAGTTCACAGTTCTACTATGAAACGTTCATTGTCGAACTGTAAACTTCATAGTACAACTATGAATAATTAAGGTTTAACTGTAAACTTAACAGTTATACTGTGAAATTTCGCAGTGCATTTTTTCCGGGGGAGGTCGACATGTTTAACAAATCTGACCAGAAAAGAGACTTGTGACAGGAAAGGGGGGTTTATCCAAGCTTATCTGCCGAGTCGGTGACACTTTCAGGCCAGCATGCGTGTTAATAATCACCCACAGACCCATTAACGTTCATTTTTCTCGCGCACCGTTTCAGCCAGTTGGTGAGGCTGCAGCTAAGAGATTAACCTTAAAGTTAGCGACGGACTTCGCTCGCAAAAAGCAGCATATTTTACATACATAGATCTTTCTAAACAAATATGCAAACTCTGGAGAGCATTAGGTGAGTAAAGGCGATTACCACAAAATACATTAATGTCATCAACGAAAAGGGAAGAACAAATTAGACGAATCATTTATGGCAAATGCCTGCGTCAAAAAACATTTTGAGTTAGCTTATATTTTAAATATTTTGGATACCCAGTCTAGACTATGTCAGGTCTATCTTTTGCATATTGTACAACAAAATGCAGAAGAATCAACAGGAAGCTCGTTTTGAATGAAAGTAGTAGTTACGTATGTTGTCTTCCGCATGTAGGTCGTTTAAAAAGTGAGGACACGGTGTTTACGGCCATGCTATTGATCGCAAGCTTAGATTTGCGCGTTTTGACAGATCTTCAGATTGCTATAATTTCTCTATTAGTAACATTTAAGACTTCCCATTTGCGTGTAATTATGTTACAAAATGAATCTAGAGTCATGACGATGTTTAATCTGGATAGGAGCCCAGCTCCTTTACTTAAACCAGGGGTAGCCAATCTTATCCGCAAAGGGCCGGTGTGTATGCAGGTTTTTGGGATAACCTGTAGGTCAGCTGTTCAAACCCAGATGTGAGGACTCTTTCAGCCAATCAGTCCTCTAATTAGTAATCTCATTAGGGAGTTGCAGCGAAAACCCGCATACACACCGGCCCTTTGCGGATAAGATTGGCTACCCCTGACTTAAACCATAACAAATAGATGTTTTTTCCACATTACTGATGTAATATATATAATGCCATATAAACCCTGCTGAAAAACCAGCTAAAAACCAGTTTATGCTGGTAGCTGGTTTTAGCTGGTGTAAGCAAATTCAACAGAATGAAGCTGGTCAAGCTGGTTTTCTCAGCAGGGTAAAATAGTGATAAGTAAATTTGTAAATGTGTATTAAAATTTTGATTAGTAAAAGAGAAAAAGAAATATCAGAAGATACATTCCTTAATTCATAATGTTAACTACTGTATTATGTACTGTAGTTGTTCTCTTAATACTTAAAAATACTCATATTAATGAAGGTGCTTTATAGAATTATAGAAGAAAGTTTATAATTCACGAATAACTATGTATCAGAGAAAAATCAAGCCATTCTACATGGTTATGTACATACATAGAGGCCACCTGCATTTCTTGGTGATTTGGCTTCAGTGCTGCTGTAAGAAGATTGTAAATTGCAGTTCAGCCCGTGGTAATGAAAAAGGAATCCTGCCAGTCCATCTGTGACGTGCAGGTACCTGTCGGTGGAATGCGCCTGGGTTAGGTGTTACCTGGGCCTACTGTGTTCTGCTTGTTTTGCAGACAGACGCTTTTCAGCCTGGACACACCTAGGCTGCACCTCCTGGCAGCATCTGGAGCTGTCCTGGCTGTAGGTGGATTAGCGGCATGTTACTGTGCTACTCAGAGGAAGGCAAAGACCCTCCCGATGGGCGATGGCTGGTGGGGTGTTGGTCCAAAGCCACCGTCAGAGGACAAAAGTATTTACCCTTTTCTGGTAAAAATGTCAGAAGACGAAATTCAGGTAAGGGATGCATCAGGGATTGTCTTTGAGTTTTCTGTGACGTCCTATTTGCCCTTCAGAGATGCAAATCTGTGGTCTTGAGTCAAAGTAGGCTATAGAGTTTTAACTCCCATCAAGACAGGGTGTGACAGTTGGTACAAATTTGTGGTGATGCATCATCACCGCCACCAAGGGAGTGCCGGTGCCAGACTTTTTCCCAATCCAGAACTAGTTCCACATGTTTGTGCTGCGAAAAAATTTGTCCTGGGCCAGTGAAAAGGACTCCAATTCAATCCATAGTCGATAACGTTTTGTCTAATATCGCCGGTGCCGGCAGTGAATCAACTTGCCAACTGATTAGTGGAATAATATTACATCATTTTTTTTATTCTGTGGAAAACGAAAGATTGATTTGCCAGATGGAATACATATAAACCTTTACTTTACTCTCACTTCTGCTTACATAACAATTCCGTTATGTTCTTTTTTGAAATCGGTGGAAACGCGGGCAGGTTCTCAAAAGGCACCAAGTGAGAACCAGCCCAGTATCGGCACCAGCACCAATTTCCGTGTTGGTGGAAATGAGGCAAATGTCATCACACCGACAACTGATATTATGCAAGGAATCATTAAGCGTCTCAGTACACTCTGTTGACCCAGTTGCATGTGCTTGAATTAGCAACAACTGACTTTCCAACTCCCTCCTGCCAGGATCTCCACAGACGCATCGACCAGGCCAGGTTCACCGAACCCCTAGAGGACGCACGCTTTCACTACGGCTTCAACACCACCTACCTCAAAAAGGTGGTCTCTTATTGGAGGAATGAGTTTGACTGGAAGAAACAGGTCGATATTCTCAATAAGTATCCGCATTTCAAAACCAAAATTGAAGGTGAGATTCAATGGCAATAAATAAATCACACAAGGTCAACAGCATGGTGGATGACTGTGTGCCATCATCATATATATGTAATAAAGTTCCATCCAAAACTTGTTTATCATTATTACCTTGCTGATTGTGATTGGCTGTTCAGTATTGCTGTGTGTGTGTTTTTTTTTCATGTGTGCACCACACCTGCCAATCACAGGGCTGGATGTTCACTTCATCCGTGTGCGTTCCCCCAGCCTCCCTGAGGGCTGCAGAGTCAGAGCCCTGATGATGGTTCACGGTTGGCCAGGGTCCTTCTTTGAGTTCTACAAGATCTTGCCCCTGCTGACTGAGCAGGAGGATGGCCTGGCGTTTGAGGTCATTTGTCCCTCAATCCCAGGGTATGGCTTCTCTGAGGCCCCCAACAGGCAGGGTAAGAAACAGCAAAGAATCATTGTCCTTTGCAGACTTCATTTTTTAGCCAGAGGATTGAAAAGGGTGGGAGAAATTGAATTCTTGTATTTCTCAGGATTTAATTCCCTCGATGCTGCACGCATCTTCCTCAAGTTGATGGAGCGCTTGGGCTTTACGGAATTTTACCTGCAGGGCGGTGACTGGGGGTCCCTCATTACCAGCAATATGGCCCAGATGAAACCAGCGTGAGTAGAGTGGTCCACAAAATCACGTCAGCCATGCTGTTCCTGGTATATGTGAACAGCCCTCATTTTTCTGGTGACCTTGCAGCTGCGTGAGGGGCCTGCATCTGAACTTCTTCTCTGTGAGAAGCAAAGGGCTCGGCATGGTGCTCTCACTGATCATCGGGCCCTACCTGCCCTTCTTGGTGGGCTTTACCCAGGAGGATGTCAAGCGGCTCTTCCCCTTCATGGAGAAGAATGTGTACGAGATACTGAGGGAGAGTGGCTACCTGCATATCCAGGCCACGAAGCCCGACACTGTAGGTGAGAGCAGCTCGGTCTTCCTTAAGAGTATGCATTCATTTTACACTGGCTAGTTTCCAGCTTGCTCTAAAATAGGATTTCTCAGCTGGAGGTCCTCAGAAACATATTCTAAATTTAAATGTTGTTATCGTCCATTTTTGCGTGAAGTGAAAAAAGAGGGTCTCTAACTCTGTCGTGGTCTGTGTTCATTTGGGGATCCCTCAATTAAGGGAGATCGAACACCCTTGCTATAAACCACTGGGAAGTTGTTACTAAAGCCTGAACATATTTTTAACCTTGACTGTGTCTCCCCCTGCTGGCTGTGGAGTAAATGACTCCCCCGTGGGTCTGGCCTCTTATATCCTGGAGAAGTTTTCTACTTGGACTGACTATAACAACAGGAATGTAGCGGATGGAGGTCTGGAAAGGTAACCACAAGCTAGAATCACAGCACAGAATGTCTGAAACTTAGATTGTTATAAAAATGTACATTTCTAATGTATGCTGATATCTTTCATTCATTATGCCAATAGGAAATTTATTTATGTGGAAACGTTTCTTCCTCCCTTTCCTTCCTCTTTCACATAAAACCACTTTTGTATCCCAGACAATTTACCCTTGATGATCTCCTGACTAACGTGATGATATATTGGACAACGGGGACAATTGTGCCCTCCATGCGCTTCTACAAAGAAAACATGAAGAATAACATTGAGAACAGAATGGACTACAAGTAAGACCAAAACATTAGCATGTTCGTAGCTTAAACTTCTGATGCTAAAGTTGTAAATACGGTAACCCGATAAATCTTATAGTGTGCCTCAAGTTAAATTACTTAATTTAATGTTTTCAAAGACAGTACTATTGATCAACTCACAAAAAAATTATATGCACGCAACACCAGGGCAGAGCGTAGCTTTCTGGGACCAGAATCAGCCATTCCCGGTGTTTGGAAATATCACGGATGTTGCCTGGACACAGGAGAGTGATGTGACCGGTCTCTGTCCTCAGGATGAATGTGCACGTCCCCACGGGGCTGGCGGCGTTCCCACACGAGATGCTACACTGTCCGTGGGCCTGGGCACGTCGACGGTACAGGAACATCCAATCTTACACCTACATGCCCCGGGGGGGTCACTTCGCTGCTTTCGAACAGCCTGAGCTACTGGCCAGTGACATCAGGATGTTTGTGAAGAAGGTGGAGAAGCTTTAACAGGTCCCACGATGCGCAGATCGCAGCTGACGAGGTCAGGCTGCTTTCAGTAAATCACTGAAGTAACTAATTCTGAGGTGTTTCAGGAAGCAAAGATGGAAAAAAACAGAAGTTCTTGCACTGATGATTCTTTAAAATCCCATAATGCAGAGAGTAAGAATGTTTAGAAGTTGAACTACTTTTAACAAGCTTGTTCTACTTACATTGATTCTAATGGACTGATTTTTTTTTTAAGTCAGATACATCCTGAGTTTAAAATGATTCCTTTCTGAAATAATTTTGAGTGGCATGTATAAAGTAACCTCTGCAATGTGGAGCACTTCACTGTTTTTACGGTTATACTTGTCATGGGACATTAAAATCTGTAAGCATGTGTAATGAGGTCAAGACGACATGCTTGCAGGAGTTTTAATATTTTTATACACTATGCACACAACTCATGCCTGGAAAACACTGGGGATGTACGGATAAGGGTTGGATCACATCACACGAGACGTCCACATACGAGGTGTAATAAAGTGCAATGCAACATTGCTTCCTCCAGTGAAAACAGGGGAGGGTGTAAAATAACTTAAAAGGGGTAATACTTTAAAAGTAAACAGAAAAAAATATTTTAAAAGTTGGGTGAGGAAAAAAAAAAATGAAAAAAGTTAGGAAGCAGTCATGAAGAGGAGATGCAGACACTGGTTCACATCACGCTGAAGATCCATTTTGGTGGAAAGTGAATCCAGTCTGGATCTCGCTTCACTGTATCCCCCCCAAAGCAATATCCTAATCAGCACCAAACACTGGTTAAAAAAAAAATCCAAGAATTATGCACATGTATTAAAATGCACCGAACACGAGTGAGACGGGGAAGGCATGGCCTTCGTCGCTCATATTGATCACTGATTAAAATAGCACCGCTGAACTCTTGAGCAGAGTAAAACCCTGAGTGTTGATGGTGGGGACCTGCCTTCAGTCCCTTTGCCTCCCTGCAATTTGATTCCCCAAGTCAAAGTTTAATTTTAAAAAGGTACTATAATCTGCCTTCCTGTGGGTCATTTGCAAAAGCCTTTGATGGATATAGGTGCCTGAAACCACACATAGTCCTCCCAGGCCTGTGTCGTGGGTCGATGTGAGAGGGCCGGGTCGCTGGACAAGGAGATGATCTGCCGTTTGACACGCGCCGGAACTCGGTAGTCCAGCTTGGGCCGGAACCAGTCCACCCCGCAGTCCCGGTGGGCCAAGGCCATGACCGTAGTGGCCATGAGGCGGACGGGTCGGGCGTCGGACAGGATGTCGGCCACGAAGAGGGCACGGAAGAGCTGTCGCAGGCAGGGGGCAGTGCGGAGGAAGCCATCGCCCATGCCTGCCGCCAGCGCCTCCATGTCGACCTCATAGAGCTCCGTAGGCAGCACGACGCTGCCCCCCAGCATCAGCAGGACACGCGGCACCCGGCTCAGGGAAAACAGGTCCTGCAGGTGCAGCATGACCTCATCCAGATCCTGCAGCGTGCGCTGGCACTTCCTCCAATCCCAGCCACCCGGCCGTGCTGCCTGCCAGCCGACGGCATCCTCCACCTTGAACACAAGGAACAGCCCGTCTCTCGACCTGAATCATTCATTTATCACCAAGTACTTTTACATATAAGGAATTTATTTTGGGGTGTCATGCAAAACAGTCAAGACCATCAATATAATTATGTACCTAAATATATAAAGTAGTGATCCACACATCACACAGAAGCAAAAAACATCTAACCAATTAAAATTCACTTTTGTACTGTGCCCCAGTATAATCACAACATGCAAAGACTAGGGGACATATCCTCTAGTTTCTATAACTGATTACCCAGTACTGGGTAGTGTGGAACCTGGGGCCTATCCCATGATAAAAGGGCACATGGTAGGTGACACCCCAGTCATACCCGGCCGGCCGCCTGCTGCTTCTTCTGGTAATACACCAGCTGATCATACATCATGGGGAGCTGCTGTCGCTGATACAGGACACACTTCAGGATCTCGCAGACAATCTTGCAGCAGCTGTCCTGGGTGACTCTGCCCGGGAACACCACAGCCACTCGGCCCTCTTCCTTGGCCATCCGTACCACCTCCTCATCATCCAGCAAATCATGCTGCCTGGCGGGGATGTTTGTGGGAGCCCTCAAGTCCGTTGACGAGGTGTAGTTTGTCAAACTGCCTGTCCTCTTCTGAGATTCAGAGTTGTCTGGAAAATAAAAAAATGTACGTACACACACACATATATATATATATATATAAATAAAAATTTAATGAATAATGCAGCGCTATGACTAATGTAAAATATGTAATGGTAGCAAGATTAATTTTGCTGGTCGGTTGTGCCGCGTCCATGCGACGGACAATCAAAAGTTCTAGCTAAATAGTCAGATGTCAGTCTCGAAATGCCTTCACCGCTCGAGCACCATAAAACGTCATGGACGATTTAAAGCCACAAACTAACTTTAAGGGAAAAATTATAATTATAGCAGACATTTAACGCCCCCGGTTTCTACAATTTTCACAAAATACTCCGTTACGAGCTGACGCTTTTACCTAATAGTGACACACACTCTTTGCACATTAATTTAATACATCTGTGATACAGTCTGGTACAGTAGTACAGCCAATTGGGACTTCGGGGATAATGCGCTTCTTGATTTTCGCTTTTTGTTGAAGTGCTGAACCACTCGATTCGTGATACAAACGTCGGATAAACACTGCACTACGTTCTGGACCCACCGTCAGAGGACCGATCCTCCAGCATTAAGTCAGACAGGGCCGGAAGATCGTAGTTTTCTTTATCAGCCTGATCCATCATACTGGACGATTTTGTGCGGTTGTCTACATGTAAGCCCTCCGTCGGCATTGCCTCACTACATTCCGGGTCGGGAATGATATCGCTGTCAGATATGTGTGTTAGGTCCACCCCACCAGCGACTGCTTGCCCGAAACACCGATCCGCCATCTCTCGGAAAGGGTGGAAATAGGTTTGAATCTCCCCCTGTTGCGATGCATCATGGGAAACCGGAAGCGGAACCTGCAAAAAAAACTTACTTTTTGAACTTTTGCCTTTGCGTACTAGAAGGTTACATACACAAATAAAAGTGTGACACTTTAAATGCCTAAACTGATTTAATTTAAACGGCGTTTTATAGTTAGTTTTGTTAAAAAATCATGTTTGTACTGACCAGGGGGAAAAAAATAAATCTTTACACGACCTAAAAATGAGAATCAGTATACACTACAATATATAAACAGTGTCCTCCGTAACAATAAAAGTTTTCTAATCCTGTATAATTACAAAATTAAGATTTCTATCTGATACGTTGAGTCACGGCTCAGCCTGTCCCTAACCACTAGGAGGCGGTAGTCAGTCGTGCCGTTTCGCGTGCTCATTATCATTTAATCAATGTTCAACTGCGAAATTCACTCAGTTAAATTAATTTTCAGACATTACTACGCAGGATATTAAAAACGTCGAGTAAATGTGAGCACTCTTGAATAAATTCTTCAGGTTACTTCACATACTGGGTATTAATCAATTATTTTAAAACATAAACAAGAAAGTAATTTATATTAATATCCGCTGGTCATTTTACACTTTTTTAAAAACTGCGGATACTGGGGGACTACTGTACACAGAAAATAGTTTCGAGTATAATTTTTTTCCGTTATTGATTTTGCCGAAGAATCTGGTTCTTATGCTAAGTGATGTTCTTAGATGTTGAAGGCGTCGTAATTAGCATTACGTGTAAATATAACCATACACACATAAAGTCTTAAAAACATTCAAACCTAGCATAGTTGTCTGAAATTATGTATACAATTAAATTGATGTTATCCACTACCCAGTATGATGCGGGTACTCTATTTCCACAAGAATTTCTAAAACGTCATTAGCTAACAATACAAACAAACACTGCTATGTCTGGGTGTGAACTTGAAATAAAGAAACTGAAACAGATTATGCATTACTTAAAGATTATGGTATTTACTTCAGTCATTTAAAATAATCATGCACTGACTGAGTTAAATTTACTGTTGAAATATTTTAACGATTCTAAAAGAATATCTGACAATGCTCCTAGTCAATATATAGCGCATCTTAGCAAAACAATAATAACAATAATAATAACAACAACAACATCAATAATAATAAATGTGATAGTTCGGTAATTCTGTGGCTTTCAACCCATCAGTAGCTCTAGGTTTAACAGGAATATGGATGATAAAATAACTTACTTAATAAACAAAAATATGATACAATTGGGGCAGTACTCAGGACAGATAATACACGACATTACAGGTTAACTGCGATATTTTAATAGACCCTTCATACTATAATGAATTGTGTCCTTTTAAAATACACAATAAAAACTTTGACTAAGTTTTTTAAGGAATACAAAAGATAATGGAAGATTACAAAGGGTTTCAGTTTCTTTTTTCCGTTTGATGACGCAAAAGTAGAGCAATAACTATTGCATGAGATTTCAACGTTTGCGCGACTTACTCATGAATAATAAATAAGCACTGATCGCTGATCAGGTAATTGACAGACATATTGACCAATGACAAAGAGGAGACTGCTTTGGCGTCATGTTAATATTAATGAGATCGATGACGTATATCCGTATTTTATATGGGGAAACGAGTTGGATCTGTTTTGTAGTCCCTGTATGGGGGGTTTAGGTGGTCTGTTTCCTTTTTTATTTTTTGAAAAATCTTTACCTTTTTTTCTGTATTTGCCCATTCGGTGTGAATGACCCGAATCAATAAAATATATCTTCGAATGTGATTTTATAAATAGGGGTCTGAAGGAATGGATCCGCGGGTGTCAGAGCTCTTCGGTACCGGCGCCGGGTTGAAGTCCGGCTCGCAGGGACTGGGCTCAGGTGCGGGCAACGGGTTTGGGCTGGGGTTGAAAAAGCCCGGTTCGAAAAGCGGGAAAAAGGCAAAGAGTAGATCCAGCAGAGGCACAAAACCCAGCAACAACCCACCATACCTACCTCCGGAGGTAAGCGTCCTGTCCTACCGGGCAGACAAAGCTATGCTGCGCTGACGTTCTGGACGATGCTACGTGGCCAATATCAGTGCTTCATAATAACAGTCAGGCTGAGCATTCGCGGATATATCAGCGGAAATATAATTTATCTAATGCTTCCTTATTTGCTATGCTAAACGCGTTACAGCTAAATTGCTTATATATGACAAGGATTTGCTGTGTTTTGGGAATGCATGCTTAATTACGGCTGCATGGCCGTTTCTCATTGCTGTGCTTTTTGCACATTTGTGCCCAACGCTTGCAGAAAGCCTCGGAGGACACCCCTGTACGGTGCCGTGCTGCCCGATCGCCGTTTTAATAGCTCTAATAGCGGAGCAGCTGGGCGGGCTTGGCCGTGTTTGTAAATACGGGGAGTTGACACTCGTGACGGGGGCGGGAATGCATCACCCACGGAGAAGTCGCGTCACTTTGACCCTGAAAATCTGCAGAGCGATGGGGTGGGATGAGCTGTACTTTGCAAAACCGATAAATGAATATATGCATGTTCTAACCTCCATGATACCTACAGTTTAGCAGCCGTACATTGCGTGTTAGCCGTATCTCACCACGTTTGCTCTTGCCCCTGCTGTCAGGTGGGGGTATTTTTTAAGGGCATTTAACCGCACGAACATGTAAATCCCAGAAAAAGAAATTGTAGTTAAACATTAAGCGTATCTTAAAATATATGTTGTCATTTAGAGAAAGCTAGAGGCCAGCTGGCATGACATGTCACCCCTGGTTATTTTAACGGCACAGTGGGTGTCTTACTGAAAACATTTCGCCCAGTAAACGGATCTCGCTCGTTTGGCTTTTGTTGTGACGCTTTTTGACTCCGTCAAAAATTTTCCGTCAGCAGTGAAAACGAGCAGTACCATACATACATACATGCACAGATAACGCCCCAAATAAAGTACTTCAGCTTCCTGTTACATATCGTGAGGGGACAAGTCTCAACATGATCCAATGGCGTTTGATGACCTTGTGAATTTACGCCCGTGAAATTTTATACAGTAAGAAGAATATGGACCTAAAATGATCATTGACATGGGAGAGTACTGTTTTTGTGCAGCCCTCAAACAATTGTGAAATTGTTTAACTTTATTTAGCGTTTGGGGCTTTTAGTTTGCAGTTATGCATACTTTTAGAGTAAAATAATAATTGGCAGAATTAGGTTTCTCCTTTATGTTGATCATGCTAAAATTCGTTTTCTCCCCCATTTCAGGCTGAAGAAGGAAATATCGAATACAAGGTAAATGTGGGCTGTTCTGACAGGGTGGTTCACAGGACACCTTATCACTGAACACAGCTGAACACAGCTGTCAAGGATTAGTAACCATACACATGGTGGCACTCTATTAGCTCTGGGGAAAAACTCTAATGTTTGGCCAGACTAAAAAAAACGCCTGTAACTATTTATTTATTTATTGGTTGGTTCTTTTTATTCTTACCATTTTTTGTTAATGCCTTTAATTTTCTCTTGTGTTGTCTTGTTTACCACTTTTTCAGTTTTCTTGGTCTTATTTCAATTTATTCGTATATTATTATCTGCTTAAATGACAGTAGAGGGAGATAATGCATTGTACAGTTTTAGTTTTGGGTTTAGGTGTATGGAAGTTGCTAAGTAATGTTGATGATGATAATGATTATTATTTTTATAATAATAATGTGATGTTATGGGCTGGACTGGCTTGGGCACCCATGTTCTTGGGCTCATCTTTAGAGTTCTAATGACCTGCTGTGTCACGTTACAGTCTACGTTACAGTACTGCATGGCTCACATGTGTCGGGCAGTGCCATTGGCCTGGCCAGGTTACCATGGAGATGCTGGCCCAATAATCAGTGCTGCCCTGACACCTTAACCCCGCCCCCCTCCCCGGCATCTTTCCCTGGCAGCTGAAGCTAGTGAACCCCACGCAGTATCGCTTTGAGCACCTGGCCACGCAGCTGAAATGGCGTCTGCAGGAGGGCCGCGGCGAGGCCGTCTACCAGATCGGCGTGGAGGACAATGGGCTCCTGGTGGGCCTGTCGGAGGAGGAGATGAGGGCGTCGCTCAGGACTCTGCGCAGGATGGCAGAGAAGTGCGTTTACATCTGGAACCCCCCCCCCCCCCTCTCTCTTTAATATCTCCTGTGACAATAATTTCTCACTTACCTTACCTTAGATGAGAAGTGAATATTTAAATGAATAACATTTCTTTAGGCTAAAGTTTTAATTAAATAGGAACTTTTTATGGGACTTTATGTTGTGAAAACTTTATCTTTTCTAGTCAGTGCCTAGTCTTGCATGGCCCAGAGGTGCGTTTGGGGGGTGTCTCTCCAGGTGCTTTGGCCGCTTCTGTACCATCTGTTAAGTGACGCCTGCCTTCATCTGCAGGGTTGGCGCTGACATCACGATCCTCAGAGAAAGAGAGGTAGACTACGATTCCGACGTCTCCCGAAAGATCGCGGAGGTCCTGGTGAGGAAGGTGCCGGACGACCAGCAGGTGGGTTTTTCTCGCGCCAGACGGCGAAGGTGTGGCCCAGCGCCATGCTAACGTCGCGGGTTGTGTACGTGCGCAGTTTCTGGACCTGCGTGTGGCAGTGCTGGGAAACGTGGACTCCGGAAAGTCCACCCTCCTGGGCGTGCTGACGCAAGGTGAGCTGGACAACGGCCGAGGGCGGGCACGTCTCAACCTCTTCAGACACCTCCACGAAATTCAGTCTGGGAGGACGTCCAGCATTAGCTTTGAGATCCTGGGCTTCAACAGCAAAGGGGAGGTAAGCCACAACGACACTAAGGCTCCCTCAAGCTAACGGAGCTGTGGTTGTTGTGGGGACCTGCGAGCTGGTAATTAGCATTACGCCTCAGACCTCTAAGTTTCCTTCTGCCACAGGTGGTGAACTACAGCGAGTCTCGTACGGCAGAGGAGATCTGCGAGAGCGCCTCCAAGATGATCACGTTCATAGACCTGGCCGGGCACCACAAGTACCTGAAGACCACCATCTTTGGCCTCACCAGTTACTGCCCTGACTTTGCCATGCTGGTCGTTGGCGCCAACACCGGCATCGGTGAGTCTGTCATGTTTTCACAATTGCCCGAAAGCAGCTATATTATGTATAAACGTTGGATGGCAGATGAACACGCGGTATAATTCTTGCTGGGGCAGAGGGACGACCAAAACGCACATGCTGTTAGATGAGCTGTAAGGTGGAAGTTAGATGTAGCCGTAGAGGTTCAGAACCCGAAATGCACCGCTGGTAGCGGCTCGGTCTGGCACAGATACGGGGATAGCCGGCACGACGGAAATGCGTCAGTGCCACACGCGAAAGTGGGTTGGGAATGTGGCCTGTCCAGGGTGTATTGTTCCTGCAACCAGAGCCAAGGTCTTACTTATCTGGCAGTAAACTGAATCTGTTACGTAGCAGCTTACTGGTGGACTGTGACGAGGTGGGGGGGGGGGGGGATCTGAGATCCCTGCCAGTGTTGTAAGTGCTGTTGACTTACCGCTGTAGGGCCAAGGAAGTCAGGACTGCAGCATTGAGGAATGGCTTTGAGGCCATTAGGGGTGTGCTGATGTCACTGCTGTTGCACCTTTTTTTTTCGGCGTTGCCAGTAAATACTGTATGTAAAACCTAGATGATGGAAAGCTCCAAGGACCAGTGCGCTTAATGGATTCTCATAAAACAACTGCATCATTTGCCAGAGACAGTGCTTTTCATATAGAACGCATTTTCATGAATGATTAATAGTGGGTGAGAGACTTTGGACTTTGGAGAGTTATATCGCTTTTACAAGCTGGCAAACTGGTGCCCGGATCAGCTAATGCAGGCGGGCATTTGTGTAACGCCTGTCATATTGCCATGGGGTCGATGCCCTTGTGCTATATGCGGTGCGCTCTTAGCGTGATTAGCATTCTTTGGGATCATCGAGATCAGAGCTATCCAGGCTGTTTTACGGCATCAGAGTCGCTGGGAGTGGCGACGATGTGTTTACAAGCAGGTCCTGCCGCAAAGGCGCTTGGGGAAACTCCTCTCGAGTGTCGTGATGTGTGCAGTGGTCACTAAGGCTCGCTAAGGAATGGCGACCTCTACAGTAAGGGTCAGCTGTATTTAGAAATCAGGTTTCTTAAGGCTCGTCTTTCAGTTGCAGCACCTCCACCATGCCTGCTGAGGTTCCCTCGTCAGATTGCGGTCCCCGAACATTTGGGATTGAAACGACATAATTCTGTTACAGCGCAATATGACATCTGGTGTCAGTAATTCGGAATAGGTGAAGTTGTGCAGCGCGATGCTAACCGTGATGCTAGCATTGTTTTGAGAATTAATCCATATTGTTCTTCACAATATGTAACAGGAACCCTAAGGGCATTAGTTGGGGTGTTTATGTTTGTGTCATACATGCTTTCACTGCTGATGGATATAAAGCACTTAATACTTAGGACAACCTCTGTGGGAACTGTGCTCTAAGCATCAGATGCAGATCCCCGTATACCGGGAGGGAGGACGTATCTCCTTGCTGTCAGCACGTTCATAAATACTGGCAAACAGATGCCTGGTTCCTTTGTGGATCTTGCCTTTTCCTAGATGGGCTGTAGATGCATTGACTATACATTGTATTACAGGTTACTTCAGCATTTGTAAAGACATTCAGCTTATTCAAAAATGGACCATGAACACACAATACAAGAGACACCTGGCAGTAGCACAGTGTCGCTGTTCTTTTTTGCTACAGTGCCCCCTATCTGTCAAGTGTAGAACAGAGAGCTACTTAAGAAGCACTATTTTGTGTGTTGATGAAGTTCTGTTTAGTGTTCTGTGTAAGCGCTTCCACAAAGCCTTCAGAGTGGTAGTAGGTGAGTAGTAGGTGAGCTGGGCAAGGATAAGATCGAAAGAAGCTGTTTACTTATCCAGAACTTTAAGATGTTACATTTCAAAGAGGAGATGTCATGATCAGCACCGGAGGGGCGATCTCTGGTGTCACTGGCCCTACTGGGGCGGTCAGGTGGAAAACCTGATTCTCCGATCTCCGCTTTCACTGGGGCAGCCGGCAGCAAAATGAAGGGTTGAGTTTATGGAGCTGGAGTGGAAATCTGGGAGGGAGGGGTCGAGGAGGTTCTGTATGTGAGACCAGTGTGAGTTAGATAAATCGTAATGAGTCATGCTGGTTCTTCTCACAGGAGTCTCGAGTCCCTTGAACAAAGCCACTACTCAAAGCTAACAAACCCATTTCCCTTCTGATTGGATTTATATCTGTGACATAATAAACCAGTTTGGCTAATTTGCCTTGTACTGTCAACACGGTGTTTCATTCTGTAACCAGAGTGTTTTTTTCTTGTGCCATGGAGAAGTTTCCAGATTCTTCTCAGTGCCCGACTCTGAATGCTCCTACTTATTTCATGTTGACACCTTGAGGTGTTTTATGCTTTGGCACCAGTGTGTCCAGTGTTGAAAATGGAGAAGAGTCTCCTGTTGGTTGGGTAGTGAACGGAGCACTGATGGTTCTGGTTTGGCTCTCAGTGGGCACCACCAGGGAACACCTAGGGCTGGCCATGGCTCTGAAGGTGCCCATCTTCATCGTGGTCAGCAAGGTGGACCTGTGCCCGTGTGGCACTGTGGAGCGCACCGTGCGGCAGCTGGAGCGGATCCTCAAGCAGCCTGGTTGCAACAAGGTCCCCATGGAGGTGGCCAGCGAGGACGACGCCGTCACCGCCGCCCAGCAGTTTGCTCAGTCACCCAGGTGAGTCGTCTGCGTCCCGTCGCTTCATTCCTACCGCACCGGATGTACGGTGTCTTTACGGCTCACGGCAGAACGGGCTATTTATAGCTGCGGCCATCTGTGCAGCCGCCGCGGGGTCTTCAGCTGAGCTGACATACATGCACACGTCGTCCTTACGGTGGTGAGTTTGTGAGCCGGAGCTCGGCGTCTGATGGAGAGTCTTGTGTTTCCGCTCTTAGCATCACACCGATCTTCACCCTGTCCAGCGTGTCGGGGGAGAGCCTAGATCTGCTCAAGGTGTTTCTCAACATCCTGCCCCCCCTCAGCAACAGCAAGGAGCAGGAGGAGCTCATGCAGCAGCTCACCGAATTCCAGGTCCTTCAAAGATGCATATTTCCATCTTTTTTTTCCTTTGGGGTGGTTCAGCAGGTTGGGACGCTGTGTCTGTGACCAGAAGGTCGTCGGTTCAAATCTAAGCGTCGGCAGAGTGATTTTACAGGAAGGCCTTTAACCCTCAGCCACCCAGGGACTGTTTGACCGTGCTTTCTTAGTTATACAATATTTCAGATAAAGTGTTCAATTTATAAAAATATAAATATCCACTTTTAGTAATTTGCTAAATGAAGCCCAACCTAACAGAGATGGTGTCCCTGCAGGTGGATGAGATCTACACTGTGCCAGACGTGGGCACAGTGGTAGGAGGAACTCTCTACAGGTCAGTGCATAAACAAGCCCCCACGTGTCCCCAGGAACTTTCAGAATGTGCCTTGACCATCAGCGGGACACGGATCCCGTGTTTTTGGGATCCCGTTACTCTGGCGCTGCCCGGCTGTCAGAGTTCTGGTCAGCTTATCATTCCCCGGTTCTGCCTGCAGTGGGATTTGCCGTGAGGGCGAGCAGCTGGTGGTGGGCCCCACGGACGAGGGCAAATTCCTGGGTCTGACGGTGTGCAGCATCCAGAGGAACCGCTCGGCCTGCAGGGTGCTCCGGGCGGGCCAGGCCGCCACGCTGGCACTGGGGAGCTTTGACCGCTCGCTGCTTCGAAAGGTCAGCCTTTGGCGCGGCCTGGTCGCCATGGGGCCCATTGTGCTCATTGTCATGTCGGTTATTGTAACAGGTGCTTCTGTTCAAAGAAATCTGCACAATACAGTATTTTCCTGGAAGCGCTCGTGTTGTGTGATTTGAATCCGCAGTCTTCAGGTTACAAGCCCATATTGTTAATGGGGGTGCTGCTGTTCTACAGGGACTCCGTCACCCTTCCAGGTTTCCTGTTCCCCTTAGTGTTACAGTGCCACAGTGCTGCTCCATTCAGCCATTCTGTCACCTTTTGGCAGAGGTGGAGATTTCAGGTCCAGAGAGTACAAATCCAGACCAAGATTTTGTTTCCACCAACCAGCTGAGTACTCTGTGACTGTGACTCTTTATACTCAACTGGTTGGTTGAAACAAAATCTTGGTCTGGATTTGTACTCTCTGGACCTGAAATCTCCACCTCTACATTTTGGATGTTGGTGCAACCTTTCAGCAATTAGTTAAGGACTGCAGGCATGATGCCCCCCCTCCCCCTCCCCCCACAGGGCATGGTGATGGTGAGTCCGCAGATGAACCCCACCATCTGCTGGCTGTTTGAGGCTGAGATCGTGCTGCTCTTCCACGCCAAGACCTTCCACAAAGGCTTCCAGGTGACAGTGCATATAGGAAACATCAGGCAGACGGCCATGGTGGAGCGTCTGTACGGGAAGGTGGGTCGTCCTCTGAGCACCAGCCTCACATCCTCCTGTCCATCTATAGCAGTCTTTCCCAATCCGGTCCTCGGGGACCCGCAGACAGTCCATGTTTTATTTCTGCCGGGAGCTGGCAAGGAGCAAAAACATGGACCACCTGTGGGTTCCTGAGGCCTGGGTTGGGAAGCACTAATCTGCAGTAATGCTGATTTTTGTAAGTGTTTTTTTATGTTTTTATTTTGAGCATTGTAGTATATCTTTTACCATTCTTGAAACGCATGATTTATGGCTGCTGTTTTTGTATAGGTGTAAAGTATTTTTAAAGTAATAAACAAAATGAGCTGATTTAGTATCCCCACTTTCACTAGAATTTTTTCCCCCCACTAGAAATTGACAGTACTCAATTTCCTAATTACTACTGAAAAGAACTTTGTCAAAGAGCAGGAAGTCCCGCCTTCAGACTAGGCCCTGATTGGTCAACTCGTGCCCCTGCTGTTTCTCTCCAGGAGGAGCTCCGCACAGGGGAGAAGGCAGTGGTGCGTTTCAGGTTCATCAAGCATCCCGAGTACTTGAAGGTGGGCGCCAAGCTGCTGTTCCGGGAGGGCGTGACCAAGGGCATCGGACACGTCACCAGTTTGCAGCCAGTCTCCCTGTAACACCGCACACCCAGACCAGTCCTCCGCTGATGACGATTCAGCACCGCCACCCCCCACCCCCCCTTCCCCATTTTGTCCCTCTTTGGTCTGGGTTGGCCTCTGGATAACGTTTGCTGCCTCACCTTGCCAGCCCCCACTTTTTATAAAACAAGAAGTGCTGTTAGCATGCACTAACAGTTTTACATGCCAGATTTTAATACGTCCATCCCGAGACTCATTCACCAGATTATTGACCAGCAAGACTTGGTGTCGAAGCTGATAGCCTGCCACACTAGTTCTGCTGTTTTTAGCAATCTGAAAAATACATCAGATATATTTTACTTCTGAAATATGTGAATATTATGCTGAGGCAGCTACGTGACTAAACCAGGCAGTTCTAGGTCAAGTAGAGTGCAACTGCGTAGTATTGAAGGAAATTGGGCAGCTTTAAGAAAGAAAATATCCTTGAAAGTTGCCGAAGTCGCGCTGGATGTTGAGATGTCTGTCACATGCATAACTCTGCTAAACGTTTAAAGGGAGGCATATCCAGCGGTTGGCCCAAGTAAGTTTGTCTTGAGTGAAATTTGAACGTGCGAACAGTCTTCTCAGCTGGAGACGTTTACAATACCAAAAAAAAAAAGAGTCCTCTCTCTTTATGGCAGCTACTAGATGTCCTCTGGCCTCAGCGATAAGCCAGGGTAAGAAGGTCCCCCCTTATCAGACCCAAGCCCTGGGACTGGTGGGATATTTTTGGGCCCCAGAACAGCATCGCCACTAAGGGCAGCTTAGAGACAGGCGGCACAAGATTGATTACTTGGGAGTTTCTCTCAGTAACTGTAGAAACATGATGGCATTAAGAGGCATTTATATTGACAGTAGCCGCAGAGGTTCTGGAATCACAGGGGGATCTTCTGCTTTTACGGACCCGTCTTGTCTCGTGCATATCTGGGCAGATCGCCCAATCTCTGCCTGAACTCAAGAACAGAAAGGCTCCATCAGCCCAGTCAAGCGGGACCTTGATGGGATTTCTGTAAATCACGAGCTGGAATCATTGCCTTTTGTAAAATCGAAGCTGACAGTCAGTAAACAGAATTCTGTCTGTTTCTTACAAGTGCTTTAGTTCCACTGCAGAGTATTTTTAAACGACTGCATTCTGTTTGTAAGCGATCGATTGTTAACTTGCCCCAAGGTGCATCTTCGAGCAGCACACTGAAGATGCCTGACCAAAGTCTGGTAGCTTTGGGGACCCGAGACCCAAGCTGGCGAGGTCACCGTCACCGGCAGAGCCGAGTGAGCATGCGCTAATCCAGCCTCTTTGAGCGGCTCACTTCAACCGCGACGCCACCAAGTGGTCGCGTTTAGAGCAGTCTCCCGGATTCGTCTCCTGTTACCGTTATCGCTTCTTTAAGTTGTGGGGGTTAAACTTAGTGCCTACAAGAGGGACAACTGTCACGTCTCCCTGAGTTTCCGGAATGTTTTTGTTAAACCTTCGTTTGGTGCTACTCTTTGGAACCGAATGGGGACGACGTGTTTTTTCGGACACCACGCTCTGGGCCGTTTCTCCCACATCATTCACGAAGGACGACTTAGTTCCTCATTAAAATGCAGCAAAGGCTCCAAAGTAGAAACATTTAATCGTTTCAGATCCCAGCTTCTATCTGGACGATTTTGTTCATAATTCTTGTGCAATTTTTTTTTCCCAGGGGGAGACTTATATACAAACCAAAACCATCTTTAGAGAACAGTGTATCAGCTGTTTGAACCGTTCTCACTGTTTCAAAGTGTTTTTTATTTTATAACTTTGTAGGTCACCTTTTAGCAAATTTTTTAAACATCATTTTCATTTTTCCTCCACTAGTTAGGAGTACACCCGAATATCACACCTGAGTATCACAAACATTGTTTCTTTTACCAGGTACCAATGCAGGAATGTTTTTAAAACATAGTAATATTTTAATCTTTCTTTTGACTGAATTATCAGAGACTTATGTACAGTTCCAGTTTGTATATTATTGTGTATATAAATAAATCTTTATTACAGACCTATCCACAGGGTTGTGGTCACAGTGCTGCTTCAGTCTATCTGCTGCTGTCTCATTTCCCGCTTCTAACACTCAGTAAAGTTCTTACTTTTGAATGCAGACATTTTCTGACTGCTGTGTCGACAGGAACCTATTAAGCATTCATGATGGAAAGACAAGGTTAAATTGGATTCAGTTCCCCTCAGCTGGTGAGCTACTCATTTGCTGGGGCCCGAATACACAATGACTGGCTGGAGAGCTTTGGAACCCCCGACAGGAAGTGACATCACGGCACTGGGCTTATCATGGCCTCACCTCTTGTCAAAAAGCCTTCGAGCATCATCTACAGGCTGTTCCTCTGCAGGAAGTGCCTGTGTCACTGTCTACCAGCAGCCAGAACACCAGAGTCAAAGAGACTTGAATCGCACAGCAGCCAACCTATATTCCAGCACAGCAAGCAAATCCCTGTGTTTAACACAAAACATCCCCCAAGCTGTGAAGGTGATTCATAAGTCAGCATTATTCACCGTAGTTTACTGTACTTATAATTCAAGAACATTAAGATAAAGCAAAACACAAACTATGCAAGCAAAAGGCCCTTAAAAAGATGGGAGAACATTTTGGTCAAAGCTGCGATTCTACTAAAAAAAAAAAACCCCAAGTCCAAGGCCAGTCAGCAGAATAGACGCAGATGCTGACCCCTTCAGGCAGGAAAGTGCAACTGCTCAGCGTCACTGAAATACTCTGCATGTTGTGTTAGGGCATCATATGTGCAGGCTGTTAAAATTGCAATGGTTTGTATATTTTAGTTAAGGAATCATTACTAAGCAGGTGTAAAAAAAGCATGGTTATATGGATCTATATAAGCAGTCTTGTTTTGCTTCAAGTCCTCTTGAAGAAGGAGTCCAGCGTTGGGTGGGATCCCTGAGATTTGGACTTTTTCGCTTGGGGTCCCGATTGGCTCTTGAGTTTCGTCTTGCCGCGTGACGACTTGGGAGATTCGGCGGCCAGATGAGGGGCGACTGCAGGGGCGGGACTGGGGGAAGATGAGGAAGAGGAGGAGAAGGAGCTCTGCAGATCCAGTGCGAAGTGGTAGTCGGCGTGCTCCGGCATGTCCCACGCTGACACCTGCTGGCCACAGCGATCGCACTTCACGGCGTCGGCGTCGCTGCAGCCGGAGGGGCTGCTTAGCTGCCCTGACACATGGGGCTGGCCGCCCGTTTCCACAGGACCCCACCCATTTTTGCTGGCCTGAGTCGCACTTCCGTCTCCGCCCCAAGCGGAGCCCCCTTTCCCTCCCCAGCTCGGCTGCTCGTCGTGTGGTGGTTGGGGGGCCCCGTCTGCGGGGGAGGCTGGGTCCTTTACGATCTTCAGTTTGTTCTCGAGGGTTTTCCTCTCAAAGAAGGAGGAGATGCCAGGCTTGCGCTCGGCCTGGGGCTTGGGGGAGAGGGCCAAGCGCTGGGGGGTGGGAGCCAGCGGGGCTTTGGTGGGGGAGGGCTGCGACTCTGTGTCTCGCCTCTCCTGCTTTTCAGCAGCCCTCTGAAAGAAGGATTGGATGGTACTGAGCCGCTTGGGGGCAAGACCTGCCTTTGAGCTGGCAATGGGAGAGCGAGGGGTGGGGGAGGCGGGGGCGGGGGAGCCAGTGGCAGATTCCTTCTGCGTGGCGCTAATGTCGCTGCTCAGAAAGCTAGCGATGCTGGCTGTGGATCCACCCGGAGCCTCCATGAACTTACTGGCGGACAGGTGGAGCAGCGTGAGGGGGGGTGACCTGCACAGAACCACAGCAGCATGTCAGGGACCGAGCATAAAGAGACAGACAGGATTGAGCAGCGCATAGTGGATAATTAAGGGCTCGGTATTTCAGGTGACCTGACCGTTCAGTTTGAGGATTCTAGAGCTTGACCTTGAACAGGTTCAGCCTTGAAGGGCCCCCAGCACAGCCCAGGGTTGGGCCAACAGAACCAGAACTGCAGCCCATTGGACCCTGGGCTGGTGGCATGGGAGAAGGCTGCACGATATCATATTGCGATTGTCTGAAATATGAGCGCTTAATATTATAAAACAAAAGATGAAATTTACCAGAAATAAAATACAGCCAAACAAAACTTGCTATTATCTACCAATAGAATGTCATATGTTGGTGGTGTTGCTGCGAGTTACGTTAACAGACACAAACCAGCGCCTACGAATGATTACAGGGCTGTGGATACCATCTTTCTACCTTGTTTATCCACAATATCCCCTTTTAAAAGATGTGGCTGTTGATCTGTCCCTTTCTTCACAGCCACTTGTGCTTATCGCTTCCATGATTTATCAAAACAGTACCATGTGGCGTTCTCCGCTAACTGAGTTTAATAAACATAAGGATACACCAAATCTATACAGCTTAGCTTTTGGGCGTCACAATACACCTCTCATTAATATTTTAAGCACAGTATTAATCTGCTTATCAAATTGTAGGCGTAAGTAAATGTCTGTATATTCCTGAAAAGCTGGCGTCCGGACTAATGTTTTGCCCGTCATCTGAAGCCCTGGGGATTGCTGCACAATTATACCACGATGTGATATTGGGCAGCCCTATTGTGGGCCACATCCTGCCCACATCAAGCAGAGATTGGCTCAGAGCAGAGGTCACTCACCATGCTGATTGGTGGTTGCCAGCAGCATTGAGGCTCTTGATGATGGCGAAGGCGTCAGCGGCGATCTTGCCGGCCTCATAGCGAGCCAAAGCGCAGCAGCGGGAGAAGCTACAGGCCCTCCGGTCCCCTGCCTGACGCACCCCGGCTGTCAGCTGCTTGGCAACGCGGCCATTCTGCAGGGACACACTTGCATTGGCATGTGTCTACTGAGCATGACAGGACAGTGCATTGAAGCCCCCACAATCAGAGGTCAAACATCTCACTGTCTAGGTGTCTCAGGGTGTGTGTTCTAGGTAGTCTTGGGGGGGGGGGGGGGTAACTATACCGATCAGCAATAACATTAAAACCATCCGCCCAATATTCTGTAGGTCCCCCACGTGCCACCAAAGCAGCTCTGACCCGTCATGGCATGGACTCCACAAGACCTATGAAGGTGTCCTGTGGTATCTAGACCAAGCCATTAGCAGAAGATCTTCTAAGTTCTGTAAATTGCAAGGTAGGGCCTCCAAGGATCGGACTTGTTTGTCCAGCACATTCCACAGATGCTTGATCGGATTGAGACCTTAGATTTGGAGGCCAAGTCAACACCTTGAACTTTTTTGCCGGTGGAAACGGGTCTGCATGGGCAATCTGCCCAGTCTGTGGCCACGCAGCTCTATATGCATCCAGCTGCACTGTGTGCTCTATCATAGCTGCAAGATGCGATGGACTGTGTCCTGACACCTTTCTATCATGCTTCGCATTAACTTTGTCAGCTAGCCTAGCCTTCGCTCCCCACACGCACCAATGAGGCTTGGGCACCCATGACCCCATCGCCGATTCACCGGTTGGCCTTCCTTGAAACGCTTTTCGTAGGTACTGAGTTACTGACTGCTGCATACCAGGAACACACCACAAGACCTGCCGTTTTGGAGATGCTCTGACCCAGTCGAGTAACCATCATAATTCTGCCTTTGTCAGTGTCACTCGGACCCTTATGCCCTCCTCACCATCTCTCTGTCCTTAGTCAGTCGCTCCTCCAGCTCCAGGGCAAGTTGGTAAAGCCAGTTCTGCACCTGTGAGGAGAGAGTGGAGGAGACTGATGTCACAGTACTTTAAAAGCGTGCTGACCAATCAGATTAAAGAGTGGAGCAATCTGACCAATCGTCTCATCATGGGTACCAGACCTGGTCTTTGGTGGCCAGGGCAGACTTCCCAGGGAAGTTCTTACTGCAGCCGATGGATTTGGGAAGCTGCCTCGGTTTGACGGGTTCAAAGTCAATCCCACGGCTCAGGTCAAACAGCCACTGACTGGAGACAGAACCGTGTTAGAACAGAAGTCCATTAGAGGTTACCCCAGAAAAATGCAGTACGCCAATGTATCCACATTTTAATCTGGATGATACTATTCAAACACCTTTGATTATGAGTATTTTAAATTCCACTGACCTTCAGAAAGTACGCATACCTGTCATATTACAGAATTGTAAAAATATGTGCCTTTACCAAATCAATTACTTGTGTTCGTTTTTTTTGTGTTTGGGAATGCTACGTGCTTTGGGGCTCACCCCGTCTTCTCCCCAAAGCGCTGCTCCAGCTGGGCCTGGGTGAACTTCGTGATCTCCCCCATGTTCTCCACCTCCAGACTCTCCACAATGGACGTTCCTAGCTTCCCACCAAGGTTCCGGCTGCAGCGATGACGTGGTGACACTCGGTTAAAGGGTCATGCGAGGATGGCAGTTTAAGAGAGGACCAGAACATCCGTACACCGTGACCGCCAGGAGTAAAAACCCAATGGCTCCATATTTTTCTGGTATATAAACAGAGGGAGGCACCAGAGGGCTCGCAGCAGGTGTAGAATAAGCTCACGGGAGTTTTACTTACACCAAAATGTTCAGGAGGAGGAACAAAAAATGATTGGTTCAGAGAGATAACCAATAAGATCCAATCAGATATTGTGGTCCCGCCTCCTCTAGTTGCTTGGGCCCACCTCCTCTACAATATGATTGGTTATGTCTCTGAACCAATCATTTTTCATTCTGCCTTCAGGACATTTTTGCGTAACTAAAACTCCTACAAGCGTAGAATGAATGGAGGCACTCACATCTTGCTGATGGGTAGAGAGCTGAAGAGTTGAGGCACAGAACCTGAAGGGAGGATGGTTTGCCGGTTTGGCTTGTTAAAGCCGCACGCCAGTTTAGCCAGCACCTGTGACAGAGACATATTTCAGCTCAAATGGTGCACAAAGGTTTTCCGGTTTGGGCTTTTCACTGTGTCCCACCTTGTTGTGCGATATCCCGGCAGAGCAGCGAAAGCCAGTGTGCTTCTCCACGCCCTCTCGCATTTCCTCCACGATCAGAGCCCCCATGGCCAGCTGCAGGTCAGGTGATGCATTGCCGGGACAACCGGACAGGGAGGCCAGCCACTCATGGAGGCCGAGCAACCGCTGTTCCTCTGCACAGACACAAAGGGGCGAGACACAGCAACCAATCAGCAGGCCCCTGTGACACCTCCCGACCTTTACCAGTTTGTGACACAATCACACACTTCACTGTCTCATTATTTTGACTTTACGGAGGAACCAACATGGCCGACCTTTGTCTAATTCCTTCGCTTCTGAGTGCCCCGTGGTACTTTGTGGAAACCCCTGCACGTAGGTGGTCTTCAGCTGGTCGGGCTCGACCCGCCTGTCCCGCATGTCCCTCAGCCTCTGCTGCACAGCAGCGGTCAGGTCCACGTAGGCCTCGTCGATACTGGCCCTCTCGATCACGGCGTAGCGGGACATCACTTCGATCACCTCTACGCTGGCCTCACGGTAACTAGACGGGAGTCAGGGGACACTTGGTCTGACTAGCCCACTGACTGGCCCCTGGCGGCTGGGGGGGGTTCTCTGTCCACACTGGGAAACCAGGTCGTTCACCTACTGGGTGAGGTCGGCCTTGCCGTGGGACTCGCGCACCCGTGCCACCTGCAGGTCGGGGCACAGCTTCTTGGCGTCGTCTGCCCACATGTTCCTGGTGACGCCATGTGCTCTGGCCTCGTAACTCACGGCGATGATGCTGCAAGAAGGACCGGCATGGAGCGGGACAAGGGCTTCATCGAGACTGTCTGGTAAATCGAGCATTGGAAATACGACGCCCCAAACATTGTACCTAATGCCTTAAAGGGCCATAACTTGGGCGCTGGGACACCACAGACCACAGCCCCAACATATCACATCACAACCATTATTCACTGCCAGCGACTGCCTGGGTAACTCACCCCCCACCTTTCCACGTTTTATACTGGGCCACCACACATGGTTTGTTCTTCAGCTCAGGGTTCATTCGCTGCTCGACTTGAACGTAGAAACAGTCCATGTCTATCAAAGCGATGATTCTCTCCTTCCCGTAACTCATCTTTGGAGCCTAAAGGGAGAAAAAAAGGTAATTTAGATAAACCTAACCGTAGTTAATTAAGTGCTCCATATACCGATGAGCGAAATCAGATTTTTTTTCCCCTTTTTAAACAAAGATGCACCTTTGTATTTTGGAAAAATATATATATTTCAGTGCACAATTACTTAGGCTGTTCGTTGATACTGGATTAAGACAAATAAAAACTGGTCGTCCTTCTGTCAGTATTACCGTGCCACAAAGCAGACAGAATATTTAAATAACATCGGTCTTGTCGGTGCAGCATTACTCTAAAACAGTTCGATTATTAACAAGGCAAACGCAGCACACACCCGTAAGACATCAGTAAGTGGCTAGTTTTCACTTCCTCAGTTAAACGAAACCATTTTACAGCTGTAGTTCAGGGTGATTTGCATATACTTATATAAATATATATACTTCAATTTTGAAATGCTTGGGGGAAGCTGTACATTTTGGCAGACTAATTATGCATTTTCATGTTATCAGCTAGCAAATGAATGAATTTAGATTGTAAATTGTGTACGACATCTTCTGGTATAAACAATTCGAGTCATGGTTAACAACAGTGAAAATTGTCTCTGAATCGGTAAGGAGCGACGTTCAAATACGACTTATTGATAGCATCATTATGGATTAAATCTCATCACCTGCACATAACGTGTACATTAAACAACACAGAAATAAAACTTACAAAGTCGAGAGCGCTAATTTGCAGCTTCGTTGCACAACAGTAAACACTTAATCCATTTCAGAGAAAATTCAGACTTCGCGGAAGAAAACGGCGATAAAAACGTCATCAAAACGCACCGAAGCACCAGCCGGTATCCGGCTCTGGGCGCCATATTTGTGAGGTCAAAAGAATTACCTGTGTGTCGCGGTTTCGGAAACACAATCAAATTCGGGTTTATCGGCTCGGTATATTCATACACGCATGGAATTGTCTCCGGTTGTTAGTGGTTCTCATACATACAGTATATACATAAAGATGATGTCTTGTGACGTAATGTTGGAGGAGGCGGATTTTATCGTGCTTGTCAGGTGTTATGCTATTAAAACCTATATGTAAAGGAAAAAAGCATTGCACCACGCCGCACGTTGAGTTTTACTTATGCTGTGAAAACGAAAAAAAAATGTTCTAGGTACGGAACATCGTTACCTTTATCACAAGAAATACCCGAAGGACGTCTACGGTGTAGAGAAGTGAAATCTCGAGGGAAATGTTCACACACAAAGCTGTCGTACTGCAGCTGTCTGTATTGTATTGTGTCTGTTATTCACACAGACTGGATCGATTTTCTTATTACGATCCCTCGTCTGTCTAATAGGCTACGTTTAGAATGATGCGTATATGCAGCGTTTCGAGAGAGTTCAGGAAAAAGAGGCGATATTTTATTTCAAGTGTTTTATTGGAAATCTTTATTCTACAGATGTAACATTTTCAATATGAGAAAGAAAATTAAAGGACAATCACAAAATAAATACTTCTGCAACAAGAAAAGTGTCGTAAGCTGCCTCGTCGTAACCCTGTAGTGACTAGGTCTACAATTTAATAATAACCATGTGGTTACTCGTTAATAGCCTTGAGGTTACTCATGGAATTGGTGTGAGGGCATGATGTGATCAAATCCAATTGAAGGACTGGATTTTTCTAAACCTAATTTCCTCGACTAGTACACCTTCATATGGCAGGATTTGTCACTGTCGCTGACAAAGCAGAATCAGATTGTAATCATTAGGGCTAAATCGGCCCCCTGGTGTATAGTGACCAGTCCAAAGTGTCAAAGTGTCTGTTGTCCATCCAATTGGTCGTAATGTTAGTTACTGCTGCTGCTGGACGATTGTCTTCTATGGTATCTCTATAATGTATGACTTGTATGTACAGAAAACAAAAAAATGTGTCATTGCTTTGAATTCCATTTGGTCTACTGGTTACTGGTACAAAACTGTATAGTCAATCTTTTTCACCAAAATCTTTTCATCCAAACCATTTTTGTGACAGTAATCTTGCTAGGCTCGTTTTAACAAAAGTTAGGTAGGTATCCAGATCTGTCAGACTGAATGAACTTTAAAAGCTAGTGTTTTATAAGGTGCCCCCCACCCCCGTTAATAAGCGGGAAAAAGCAGGTCAACACTAAAGTGTGCAGACTTGCATGCACAAATGCAGGCGTTAGCGTAAACAAGCCCAGACCTAACAGATGGTCTGAAACTATACAAGGAAAACAGAGTCGTAACAGCATCACTGACATACCGCATGGTGCCCCAAGGGGGCGCCCATTCTCTTTTTCTTTCAGCCGCATAAACACCATTTATCACTGTCATCGAAGACACCTTAAAAGCCCCCCTCCTTTGTAAAAAGCACTTAAAACAGCCCCCTACCCAAGTATTTCAGCATAACTGTCTTGAAAAACTGTACATGAAACAGTCAGTGGGAAAAAATAACTTGCTACATAAAACACTGTTTGTACTTGTTTCTTTTTGTCATTAAAAGACTAGTACAACCTTATCCAGACATGTCACACTCAGTTTTCACATAACTAGTTCATTCTCTGATATCAAGAAAAACGGAAGTTCTCCTGGTAACCAGTGACACTTGCCACGAGACAAGCACATCCGCAGTTCACCATTTAGTAAAAAAAATAAACAATAGTAATAATAACAAAAATCCTTCATGTGTTTGGCCAGCTCCTCGTTTCATTGTCCGCACGACTGTGATTATTAAGTCACAGCTTCGATAACCTTTGCAGCCCTGCCTACACCGTGCTGCCGTCGATCTGCAGTGCGGACCATGGCAGTGATGAAATCTGTCTGCTTTCACTGTGTTCAGGCCAGGCTCCTCTGCCGTGGCTTGATCCTTGGGTACAGCTGTTGAGAAGAACCACATGTAAACTAAATATACAGCGCCATATTCCCATCCCCTCTGTGGCCCAAAAGGTCTTTAATGAAGTCTAATGACATGATAGTAAATTTATGACTATTAAGGATGGGAACTAAAAATCAGTTTACAGCAGTGTTTCCCAGTCCAGTCCACGGAGACCCGCAGATGGTCCAGGTTTTCACTCCCTCCCAGCTCCCTAAGACAGTCCACATTTTTGCTCCCCCTCTGAGGACCGGATTGGGAAACACTGGTTTACAGTTTTGAGGTCACTTACCCCAAGCAAGTTCCTGGGGACGTAGCCCTCCTGGTCGCCCATCCGCACCCACCACCACTCCACCTCGTCGTCATCCTCGCGGCGCACCACGCTCATGCCATCGCCCTCCTTGAAGGGCAGCTCGTCCTCATTCTCCTTCTCGTAGTCCCAGAGGCCGTAGACCACGCCCCGATTCATGATGCCCATCTTCTCCTGCACACCTGTGGACAGACGTGGGCCGGCACGTTCACATAAGCCTCCAGAGAAGCTTCCAAGACCTCACCGGGTCCCCTGCCTAGCGTGAGCTTTCTGGGCCCTTCAAACTGCCAACACACATGTGCTGCTGGCACAACTGAAAGCTTTTACACACACATACACAGACACAAAAAACAGACTGTGCATTGAGACTGGCTGAATCAGCTCTATGTTGAATGACTTTGCTAATCTCAAGCACTTGCTGGGCTGATTTGCATGCAGATGAAAGACATACTGCCACCAGCCCCATTTTTGTAGAGCTCATTTCTCAAGAGGCGGCGGGATAAAGGACTATACTGAAGACTGTGCAGCCTCATGTCTCAGACGGGATACTGACCATACAGGAACTGGGAGCACTGGGTGTATCCCTCCTCCATCTCCTCGCACTTGTCGGCTGCAGTTTGCATGTCGCTGTAGGTCATGGCGAACACGGCGGCCCCGGACTCCACCAGGAACTTGCAGACCTGCACGTTATTGCAGGAGGCTGCGCAGTGCAGGGGTGTCCTGGGAACCACGGGGGGGTGGGGAATCAGAAAGTGCCCGTTTGCCCTGTGTTCCCCGTACCTGCCTGCTGCTGCACCCTTTCTCTAAAGCAGTGTTTCCCAATACAGTCCTTGGGGACCCCCAGACAGTCCACATTTTCGCTCCCTTAGATAGTCCACATTTTCGCTCCCTTAGATAGTCCACATTTTTGCTCCCTACCGAGAGCTGGGAGGTCCCCAAGGACTGGATTGGGAAACACTGGTTGGTGTTTAAAATGGTTTAAAAACAATCCCAGCTGCAGTAAACAGGTTTTAACAACTGAAAAATATGAAATCATTTGATCAGTGCAGCTAAGAATCAAAGACAGTAGTAATATCGAACCTTGGCCAGAATTCTGTTCATTTACATTTATTTAACAGGAACTTTTGGTCCAAAACAACACCCAAGTGAGGAAAGCTTGGCATCAGAGAGCACTTACACAGTTTACACTGTCAGCCACAGGATTTGAGCCAGTGAAATTCCAGACCAGCTTATCCTGAACCTACTAACCACACTGCCACTGCACCACTGGGACCTACCAGCCATCACTGTCCGCAGCATTGACGTTGACCCCAAACTGCACAAGGAACTTGACAATGTCGGTATGCCCGGCGCAGACGGCGTTGTGCAGGGCAGTGATGCCCTCGTCGTTGGGTTGGCTGGGGTCCTCCACCTGACATGGATGGGTGCACATTTGGCCGAGGTTTACATTACAGAACATCTGTCACATCAGCCCGGGTAGCCAGCAGTGATGGTGAAACCTCATGGTACCTTTAACAAGGGCTTAAATTTGGTTTCAACACTGGTGGAGACCAAATCAGCCCCAAGTCCCCCTACACACAAGGTACTAGATCAATATCGGTAAGTCCCAACCCACCTATAACCAAATTTATGTCCTTGACCTCAAGGGTTTAATAACATGCACAAGGAACCTCACTCGCCTCATAGATGATCCTTTGCACCAGGTCAAACTCGCCCTCCAGCGACGAGTCCAACAGCAGGGCTAGGGGGTTGAACCGGACCCGCATGCTGTGGCTGATGCGCTCCGAGCCCGGTTTCTGCAAATTGGTCCTCTTTCCCTGGGTCCCAAGGGGAGACAAGGTTCCAATGAGGCAGCCGAACTACTGCTTTCGGACCTAGAGCCAGGCTAAGCACAGCTGCGCCACACCCATGACTTATGACTCACAGCATCGTCAAATAGAAATCTTCATCACTACTATTTACAGGACTGTTATTCATAACTTACAGTGCGATTATTACTGGTCTTGGCTCTGAGGACAGAGAGAAGTCTCCAACAAATACTAAAGCACTCTTTAGGGGAAACTGCCACCAATACAAGCTGGTCTCAATTAATGGGGTCGCATAATCTGATTAAGGCCCCCCTCCCCCGGTCCCTACAAGAAAGCCTTTTTGAGGATTTAGGGGGATGAGGCTTACAGACAAAGGCTGCTTTGAAGTGGGTCAGTTTGCACCACACACTCCAAGCCCAGCTCCATCCCATAATGCGACTTTGGCAGAACTCATGCCGAAATGCCCGGGACAGAGTGCTGCACATTGTTTATTTTCACATAGTAGCAAAAAAAAAAAAAGAGTAACGCCCACAAATCTGGGGCAGGGGAGGGGCGCTGCGTCGTCACGGAAAGGCTGTAAGAATCACTAAGGCGGCCGCATGGCTGCACGCGATACTGACGGGTGGCGCATTTCCCAATAACCAGGGTGACCCAAGCGTGGCCACTTGAGACACGAAAGCCAGAACTATGGGCTTCACACAGAGAAGCACCGGATCCCTCCCTACAAACTCAGAATCCTCCAAAACGCTGCTCCTTATCACGGCATCATCTTTCTATCAAATTACTTAGAAATATTAAAGTATTACTGTGTGAAGTGCAGTTATTA